TATGTTGTCATTCATATATATAATTTTTGGCACGAACCCTTACAGCCTAGGTTTACGAGACAATGTTTTCGCAATGAGACTAGTTCAATTTACAAAGTTGACTTACGTGTTGATAAGTGGATGTTAGGCAAGAAATGTAATCAAGTTAGCCAATAAATAACAGCACATTTGCATTAGAAATCAGGGTGCGAGTCATAAAATTACTGAATATCTAGAATTATATGACTATGACCCAAATAAATTAATCCTAAACATATAGGTATAGCACGTACATGTATATTTGTCAATGTGCTATACCGATATTCAAATTTTTCATTTTCTAGACTTCGTACGTACAAGAAGCAGTAGTAGTATACAAATTATATTAATATAATTTCCACAACAATTTCTATATGTATATAATTATGTTCCAACTGGTGTTCACATAAACTATTGGTATTACGAACAAGAACCGTCGTAGACGTTTAAAATATCTTCATTTCACTCATCCAGACCAAACATCAAAGATGGAATTGCCTTAATAAGACGTGTTAACTTATATCTTCCTGTACAATTACTAAGTCTATTCAGTTGTAAGTAAATTATCAGTTCGTTCTCAGTATATTAACCTATATGTAAGAATACAGTTAAGTGCAGTTAGAATTATAGCTTAGCGGCCATTGAAAGTCCGTCGCCGCTTTAAATTAACTTTAATTGTGGTAGCAAAGAAAATTCCTGCAGGTTTCTTTCGCCTGACCAGCTCTATACTCACAGAAGAAAAATACGTATACACTCATTATTTTAAGACCTACATTGAAATATTTGCCTATTTTTTGAAGGTTTCCAATTAGAGATCAAACACGAGTAATAACAATCAATGTTATGTTTGAAATAGTTTTAAAGCAACTACAACTTTTATATATGTATATGTATTGTGAATATTCATTACGAGACAATAGAAATTGGTCAAACGCCATCTGTTCGTCACGTCAACCTTTTTAATGCCTTTATTAAGCACAAAATACATCCAAACTAATAGGTACATGTCAAAAGACATGCAAGAAAAATAATTTTATGCTTTATAACAAGAGACAATCATTTTAAACAATTTTTTTTTAATTCTTACGTACTTATTAAAACATTTGCTATTTTTCCTATGACTGTACTTCTTTACACCTCTCCTATTAACATTTATAAAGTATCTAATACACTAATAATACTTAATTCTAAAACATATTTCCCACAATTACCTACCTACTACCAAACAATAAATTGTTATTGAATTTTATGATATCATTATACAGTAGTATTAATTGTAAATAATTTCTTATATAACATTTAAAAGGTTAGGAAATTGCGTAATTTAAGAACAGGACAAATTGCCCTCAATTATCAGTGGGCGTGGACTCGGCTGGGATAAAGCAATTTGTGGTAATCAAGGGACAATCCAGATATCGCCATTAACTTTGTCGGCTGAGGCTTAACCGGGAAAAAAAACTTTAGACTGTTATGAAATTAGCCTAATTAAGTAATTATTTACACTAGGCAGCTGGCTAGTAATAATTCTGGTCGTATTTATATTTTATAGCAATTAAAAACAAACAGTTATTGCAGAAATTTTTAACACGAATAACCTTTAAAGGTGATAAATTGTGTTTTTACCTTTTAAGTTCATTCTGTTTCTATAGCTACGATTTGGAGTTATAGCTTTAAGTTCAAGCATTCTTACTGTCGACGAATACATCATGTTTTAAAACAAACATTATAATTATCTTAACGCTAAGTTATGTCATTGTAAGAATATACGAATGTAGACATTTTATGTAGACATATTGTATAAATAAACTATTGTATAAAAAAATGAGTAACAATAATACTAACGATTTCTGATTTTGTTGGTACCTATGTATATAATCTTAGTTAATGAAGAAGGTCAGATTAATTCATGAAATTTAAATTTAAAGCCATGTTAAAAAACTATAAATAACTTTTTATAATAACGTTTTCGTGCAAGAAAATGCCATAGTCTACACATATATTGCAGGTATATTATGTATGATTTCCCATTCTATTTTATAGCATTTTAAGCAATAATCACTTTTATATATACTCACATATGTATATCTTGGTATAAGGACTAAGTACATATATGAACTTTTTATTGAATAAACTCTATGAGAACTCTAAACTGTTTTTATTGCATACAATGGAAAAACATATTAATCGAATCGGTTTCACATACATTTATAAACTAAAATGAAAGTTATATAAGTAAGCTGCACTTATTTAAATTATAATGGACTTAAAAAATAATATTAGTTTAGTATTTACTCTACATTAATAAAATTTCATTCTTTATTTGTATTTAAATAATTGAAAGATATGTCCCACTCTGTCACGATTATACCACTTCTATTTAATGGTATACTGGCACAATTTTAGAAGCTTACAAAAGCGAAAACTACCTACGAATGCATTCGGAACAAATTCTGCTTATTATCGTCCGATTTCCATTACCTCTATACTATATACGTTTGCAGATCGTACTGTAACAACAAGGGTTATGCCGAAATCGGTCGACTGGGGATCTTCTGGTCCAGCCACATACTTATTATATGGAGGAAAGATTTAGTGAATAATAGTGAAGCTCTCGTAAGTTCACTTGTTGTTCCGAAAGTTTTTGACGGACTCTAGCAGGATAACCTATTTGGAAAACTTTCTAGTCCCAGCATTTTTCAAGGTCTCATTGCAGATTTTCTGACTTTTTATTTGACCCTGCTCTACAAGCCTATATTTGTTAATAGATAGTCATCTAAATTGGCGATCAGCGCAGGACTTCTCAGGGGTCTGTCCTTTACGCAACTCAATTTTTTTTGCGTAAAAACGATATGATCAGGTATTTTTGGTTAGACAAATAATAATATTGCGAAATTTAACGCCAATAGAACGTCACCAAAGCTTTGTGGAGAGATGTAGAAAACAAGTTATTGGTGACTACTATTTGGTTAAAACCAATCAAGTCAGTCTACAGCACAGACTCGATATGTAAAAATTTACATTTTAGGGGTCATCAAGATAAGATTGAAGAGGCTATATATCTGAATACTAATAATATCTGAATAGTTCACCATCTGCGACTTCATTTCTACCTACCATCAGGTGGGACGACCGTACAGGACAATCAACTAAAAGAGTTTACGAAACCCAATCTTGTTTGAAAATTAAATGAATAAACTTTTTGTTTTTTATTTCAAAAAATAGAAAATAATTATGTAAAGGGTCATCGAAGCAACGACTTAAATATTGAAATATGGTTCACTAAACTACGTGCCCATAAATACAAACCTAATAATACTCAGTAATAACTATTGTTATTACCAATCTAAAATGTTTATTTTCAATGCAAATCCTCTCTTTTTGTACAAATTACAAACGATTAATTCAATATTAAACTCGAACTTATAAAATCAAACAGTAAAAGATTGCTAGACCTTTTTTGAGTACGAGCGTGACCATTTAACTTTATGACTTAATTTATTTGACCTCGTGTTTACCGAAACGGACAAACTATTGCATAATCTTGTTTATTTTGTTCAATTAAGGTATGAAAATATGTCTGCATTTTCTTAAGGTAATCGTAACGGTTCAACAAAGATGAAGGAGAATAAAATCTTTACAACTACTAATGCTAACTCGAGATAACAACTCAAAAAATTCAAAAAGCTCTTTGTACGTATCACTTTTGTTGATAAATTGTTTGCAGACACACCGATAAAAGAAAACTTCCCATTTGTTGTGTCACTGCAAGTAACTGAAAGTGACTGATAATTTTTATAAAGTTAAAAACATTTCATTAAGATTTCTTTAAAATATCACATATTAAAAAAGGCTTTTGTAAAGTTAATTTGTATTACTTATACCTTGTATGAAATAAAAAAAATAGTCGAAGACTCTAGATAATAAAATTTTTGATTCTATGTCGATCCTTTTTTTTAGGATCTTCTAAGTCGTTACAATTCAAAGAAAATGAAGCCATAAGCTAACTTTATTTCGCCTATTTTCACATCCCTACTAATATTATAAATGCGAAAGCAACTCTGTCTGTCTGTCTGTTACTCTTTCATTCCTAACCCACTGAACAGATTTTAATGAAATTTAGTACAGAGATAGAGTTGACCTTGAGAAAGAACATAAGATAGTTTTTATCCCAGACTTTTGAAAGGTTCTCTTGGAAACGAAACTTTTGAAAATAACCGAACTGCACGCGGGCGAAGCTGCGGGCGGAAAGATAGTTTGCTATATAAATACTTGTAGGAGTCTTCCTATGACCTAAAATTATGACGTTTATTTAGAAGCAATCTGGTCTCCTAAGAAAATATCTTAAGACAAAATAATTATCGTATTGGGTTTCACTTTGTATATTCTATACGTAGTTCACGTTGTTGCTACGTATTTTTTATTGTATGGATAATGGCAAAGTGGTGTCAACTTTGCGAATTTGACATCATTACTGGAATAAACCAGGATGCTGCTAATTTTTTTAGGTACAGACGATCCTTTAATTAAGAAAGCTATTGAATTTCTTTACATATACAATTGTCGTAACATATTATGGGTAAAAATTTAGATTATAGGGTAAACTTACCTTTGTCTTGTTATAATAATGTCATTATTTATAAAGGAGTGACTATTGCATATGTTTTAATATATAATAAAGGCAATAATTTTAGTCAGTTTAAGTTACTACTAAAGTTACTAAAAAGCTTAATTTAAAGAATGTCCTCAATTTCCAAATATTTCTCTTTCAAACTTCATATATGTTATCGAATGCATCAATTGGTTATTAGATAAAAAATAAAAAAGTTAAAATTTTCGGTAGTTTCGATAATTCCCCAAAATATATTAAACTACGAAGTATGTATTAATAAACAATAAAGCATAATTTATTATATAAAATTTCTTATATATCAATAAATAAAAAACACTCAAATGTTAGTGCTCATTTATTACAAATAAAATCACTAGTTATTCTGCTTGGTGTCCTTAGCGTTCTGTAATGCTTGTGTCAGATACAGTTTGGCCAGGCTTTGAGAGCAGAATTGGCTGATATGTTGGCTGTATGTGTTTATTTGGCCGGCAACTATCATTGGAACCATTCTCGGTGGTACAGGCAAGGGTTTGAACAGCTTGTTTACATCTTCTTCGGGTAGAGGAGCTTCATCCTTTGCAGCTCGAGCAGCATTCTCCTGAGCTCGTTTTAGCAGCCAACGATGCTTCTCTTGCTGTTGACGGACCACTGATAATTGGTAACGGTTGAACTTAATTGCTTCCTGGTTCAGTTCGTCCACACGCTCCATAAGACTTCGGAGTTGTCCTGAAAATTTAAATTTGTATTCTTTACTATAGGTATAAATTAAAAATGAACATTTAATAAGAAAATTTGATGAAAATATATTTTTATGTTAAAAAAGTAGTCATAAAGTTGTGTTGAATCCATTTGAAATTAGTACAAAAAGATTGTATAATTAACAAGTGTGTTACCAGATCTCTATAGAAGAAAAAAATTATTCATGATATTGTATATGTAATAGTAGAATTCCAGAATGTTTTTCTTCACTAAAATTGCTGAATAATATTAAAAATAATCTAATTCTTTAAATACTATGTATAAAAAGTTATTGAAAAGACATGACATCGCATTTAAAGGATAATATTTTGAAAGTATATGAGTAAAGATTCTGTTTTCTGAACTCTATTTTACAATATATTTGTGCTAAAAGCCTGCTGAATTTTATTATTTTTTTAGTAATGCATAAAAACTATCGATACCTCCCAAGTAAGTTGTTGTTATGTCACAAAAATGATATTTTGCTTTTTTCTGAAAAATATCCTATTATGGATCAAGTAAAAAAACAACAAAAACACTATTTTTAAAGGATTTGTCAGACGCATAATGTTGTAATTTTCAAACTCGAACGGATAACACTGATGTATGTGCCTATACAATTGTTTATGCGGGGCGCGAGGTGGGCAAAATCACGCGCTCGCGCCGCTTATTTGTTACATACAACAGAGTCAGGCCTCGGCCTCGAATTTTGCGGGCAGCGGAGCGGCGGCGGGAGCGGCAGGATCTTACGCGTATAATCAAATGGACCGACCCTCGAATACAGCGGTGCCCGCTGCCCGCTAGTTTGGAGAACAGTATGCGTTGCCGTGCCGCCGCCGCCGCCGCTCCGCTGCCCGCAAAATTCGAGGCCGAGGCCTAAGACTTATGTTTTTCAACGTATACAGTTGTAACTATCATATACCACGAGTGATGTTATCTGGGCGCCGCGGTATAATGCGTAAGTATCAGATACAACGCCTTTTATAGCTTCTACTACAGAGTAAAATGTTGTATGAACAATATAACACCAATATCTCTGCAAATGGGCATATTACTTAAAATATCTTTTAACGTATTTAAGAAGATTATTGTGTTAAATTTAAATACGAAATTTTAAAAAGCTGCATCAATAAATGCAGATTTTGGTTTGATTTGAATCTTTGAAATGCTCTACTGTAAAATTACACTTTTGAAGATACAACAACTTATGTGGGAGGAATTGCTATATACAGGGTGACTGGTGAATTACTATCAATATTTAAGGAGAATACTCGGTACATGATTCTCATTCGAATTATGTAAAAAAATAGGTACTTAATTTTTGACCAAATTTCCGTATAAATAAATAAAGTCTGGACACGTTCCAAGTGTTCCAAGTGTGGACGCGTGCGGCGGCGTGCTGATACAACACCACGCCGCCGACGCGTGTGTTTGTGTGTGTGTGTATACCTAATCTGTAGGGTGTTCACACGATGCGTAATTAATTACATAACTTTTGGTTAACTTTACTTAGAAGTTTATTAATATTCATGTTATATTAATTTTTATTTTGTCATATATGATCGTCAAATATCACGTCCTCAAGTATCGATAGTAATTCACCAGTCACCCTGTATAATAACTTATTAACTATTATTTTAAGATGTAAAATTATTTCATAGGATTATATACAAATAATATTATAAGAATTTCCATTGCCATATATAAACTATAAAGCGATCATCTTCAATCTATACAGGGTGACTGGTGAATTACTATCAATATTTAAGGAGCATACTCGGTACATGATTCTCATTCGAATTATGTAAAAAAAATAGGTACTTAATTTTTGACCAAATTTCCGTATAAATAAATAAAGTGTGTACACGTTCCAAGTGTTCCAAGTGTGGACGCGTGCGGCGGCGTGCTGATACAACACTACGCCGCCGCCGCGTCTGTGTGCGTGTGTGTGTATACGTAATCTGTAGGGTGTTCATACGATGCGTAATTAATTACATAACTTTTGGTTAACTTTACTTAGAAGTTTATTAATATTTATGTTATATTAATTTTTATTTTGTCATATATGATCGTCAAATATCACGTCCTCAAATATCGATAGTAATTCACCAGTCACCCTGTATATTACCTCTTTCTCAATGATAACCAACTGTTTCTACTGAAATAGCATATTTATTGCAATTATCAATGATGTATCAGAAAAAAAAATTGTGGAATTCAAGACAGAATAAATTACTTGTACTTTTAATGCATTGATTTCTATTAGTTTTTTAACATAATAGAAATAAAAACTTTTAAATGAAAATAGATTTTATCCTGAAAACATTATCAAATACCGAGATATCTCAAAACAATAAATTTTTGCAAATGGTTATGTTACTACAAGCAATCTAACATACCTTCAAGCACAGAAGCAGTTCCTAAATCAAGGAACTTGGACCCTTCTTCTTCAGGGATCATTTCAGAGATCTCCGACATCATAATGTTAGTGAGCGGTGAATTCCTGATCACTATAGGAACCTCAATGAACAGGTTCTCATAACCTATCTTAAGGTTACGCAAGGCTTCTGGTGTGTAGTCCTTCTCTTTGTACATGGCAATCGCCTGAAACATTTATGTAACATGCCTTTGTATTAATAATATACAATTTTGTTGCATAAAAATATTAAAAAATAGTTAGTGGTAGGTTTCAAGTTTCAACATAATGTATGCTATAATTTTTACCAATCTACATACTATGATTACACTTACTTTGAATTGAAATTACTAAATTTAATATGGACAGTTTATGATTTTATTTCATAAATACTTGATTATAATAGTATCCAGATCGATACATAAATGAAAACAAGGAACCATCTTTTAATAACTACTAAATGTTAAGAATATGTTCTTGCATGTTATAAGGGTATTAACTTTGTCAATCAATATGATGTTAGTTAAAAGTCATAATTATTAAATGTACTCCAAATTTGTAGATAAACAAATATATAATTCAATTACCTGAGGAGTAAGACGATAAGCCTTCAAAGTCAAGAAGCCTCTAGCGGACTTCTTAGTGTCGTAAATAACAACAACACTTTCTTCAATGGATGTCTGATAGTGATACTGGGACTCTAACAGTGATTCACTCAAGAAGTTACCAACATCCGCACTCTGGTACCTAGAATGAATAATAACATATTAGAATATTAACACGACTTTACATTATAAGAAATATTATATATAAAATATTAGAAAAAACTGAATACTTGCAGATTTACAACTTTTTAATTATTTTAATAACTCAGACAGCAGAAATGAGAATGAATGTATGACACAATATTATCTCATCGTAGTATACAAAAACATTCATTTTATTTAAATGAATACTCGCAAAAGTCATAGATCTCATTCAAATTTAGATCACATTCTATACAATATATCATGTTATGGCTAAGTGAAAATTATTATTACTATTTTAATTTGATACCCATAATTGATTTTTGAAATAAATGTAGTGATTATACTAATCATTTAACTAGGCGGGAGACGCTACCGGGTAAAATTTACCACATAGTGCATACTTTCGAAAATATTTATTTTTTGTAAGTAATTATGTGCAGCGCCGTTTTAGATACCTTTCGACAGATGTTCGACGGTTCGACTAATAAAGAAAATCGTGACGAAAGAGACCTAGAAGAGATTACTTGAAGGTGTTGGCTGTGTCTCTTGTATTGCCACAAATTAAGTGTAAATCTACCAGCTTCAACCTGCTTACAAACATTTATGAAAAGTAAAATAATACTTTTACTTGGTGGTAATGACGAGCAAAAAAATAATATTCCGAATAAACAACAGGTAAGAGTCCTCAAGCCACACTCGCAAATATTTCGTTTTGTGCACAAAATGGCTCAGTTTTTGAACTATGTTTTAAAATTTCAAATATTACATTTTATACCGAGCGTTTATTAGTTTCCAACTGTTTTGTTTAATTGAAAATGTAACAAAATATAATATAAAAATTTGTTATATTTAATTATCCATAAAATAACTCTAGACCTTACATTAATATTATTGTTAGTGTTGGTATATGGGGTGCGCTTCCCGCGGAGTGAACACTAACAATAGTGTGACAGGTTATTGACCCTAATTACTACTTTGTTTAGGTATACTGCTCTTAATATACAAACCATCCAACATGGAAGTGATCAACGTTGACTCTACGTAGTCTACGCATCATGTCGAGCTGATACTCCTCCTCATCCATCGTATCATCGTGTTTGGGGAACGGAAAGCAGTTGGTGATCTCCAATCGATTTTCCACCACAAGCCCGAGTAGGGCTCCCTGAGCCACTTCCATATTACTGCATGATTCTTCATGACAGTGTTTCACTATTTTCATCACCGCCTGTAATATGGCATCCAATTTTAATCACATTATAACATTTAGTAAAACAAACTAACGGAATGTAAAATATTTGTAAGCGTGACTGGAATTTTACAAGGTAATTGACATCACTATCTAGAAAGTGATGTGAACATTCTAAAATGACCTATGACTCATCAGGTCCATATATCTCCGAGGTAAATAAACGAAATTTGTGTGAATTATAACCTCTAACAAACTATCTGATCTTTTTAAAGAACTAAAGTCTAACAAATATATACTACGTTTGAATATATTATACTAAGTTTAATCCACAAAAACATAAAATACTGTTAAGTTTTTGATTATTCTGTTCTAAACTTAAGAATGCAAAAGAAACATGACGCGTCAACGATTCGAGATAGCAGCCTTAATAAATAGTCAAAGCATATTTATTACAATGGTTTAAAAATTTAAAGTTAAGGTATTTACCAGTCCATCACACTGAACGTATGTAATGGCATCTTCATTTTCAGGAACGCGTCTAGATGGGCCACCGCGACTCGCCATTTTTACGTGAAAGGGCGATTTGACACGCACGAGAATGACAGTTACTTTTTTAAATACACAACATTGGATTCTAGAGAAACTTAAAACTTTGATAATAATTATTATTTTCAATGTGTCAGTTATAGTTAGAAATTTTTGAGATAACGAAACAAAAATATTACATTTGATCAAGATTTAGAAATAATTCATATAAATAACAGATAACTAAGATCCATTAATTTTTCTTGTTGCTCATTTGTTTTTGAGTCGGTAGTAAAAAAAATATGGTCAGTAAAAACGAAAGAAAAGACTTTTAAAAATATGTCTGCATAATATGTAAAATAAAGAAATAATTAATTGAACGCTGAACTGGCGACTCAAGCACAAATGATCATAGCCTCCCAATGTCCAATCAAGTTAAAGATTTTTTGTTCGATAGGGGTGGTTTCATAAAATATTATAACTGTGCGTGAAGTCTCTTCTCGTGGAAGAAGTGATACTTCGTAATGTTGGAATGAAAACAAGAAGATGTAAAAATTCATTAAAGGACTTTTTAGAGTTTCTTTAAGACAAACTTTATTAACATGCAGTGCTGCAACTAGCCTTTTATGAAACTGAAACCGTGGAATGCCAATGTAGCTTATATATTTTTTTTAACTATGTCTATACTTTCTATCTTATTGGATTCGACTGTCAAATTGTCAGATGTCAACCTATCAATGTCATCAACTCAGAAGATAAATCATTACAATACAAGATATTTACTTACTACATCCAGACTAATAGATTGTAAATAAAATAATTATTTTTACTGGAAGCTCACATTTTAAACAATACAAAACTTCTATCACATTAACAGTAAAATGACTAGAAGTAATTGAAGACCTAGAATTATAATGATCCGCCTAGTTTTTATGGGACGATGGGTGAAAGTGTTTTTAAAATGAGTCAACATAAGTTCTGGAGAGGATTAACGTCTTTGAATCTTCCCTCTTCGCAACAGGTACCTGAAAAGATTGTAAAGCTTTGTTCCCTGGGAATTGATTTCATTGTTCTTGGCAACGATCACGGCCTTTATTACTGTGAAGTCCAAAATGACGAATTAAATTTTAGGAAAATTTCCGGTATTACCGCTATAGACATATCTTATCACAATGAAATCCTTTATATTATTGATGTACATGGTCGTCTCTATAAAACAAATACCACCTTCAAAAGCAAAGAGGAAATAATAGTCAAGGAAGATTCTAAATGTTGCCCCCATGGATTCAAAAGTGCCAGTTGTAAAGTGAAATTCAGAAATGTAGTAGTGAGTGATTTCGGGCAGCTTTTTATAAGCTGTGATGGTCATCTTTGGGGTTCTGGTGCAATGCCTCAAATATCTTTAGACACAAATAGTATAAAGCGAGTTCCATTTTTCGAAGGCAGGACTGTATACAGTGCTTCAATCGGCCAAAACTTTGCAGCTGTTATAGCAAGAAAAAATGTGAAACAATCAGGCAATTGTGACACTGACAGTGAAAATGATGATGAAGAAGTTTTTGCTTCTAATTGTTCACAATGCCAGACAATCATTGGTCTAGCATCCCCTGCGTCTGTACCATCACTGTCCGAGACATGTCCACTCGGAGTCCACATTAGCAAGTCCAGTGAAGATTCAAGTAGCACGACCGCCCCTCAAACAGACGTCCACATAGATGCTCAAAGTTTTACAGAAGACTCCAGCCCATCTTCAGAAGAGTCAAAAGTAGCTAAGTGTGACGTTACACAGTATATGAGTAACAATTTAGAAGATAATGAAGTTCAGAGTGCAGATGATGTTGTACAAACTGAAGATCCCGACAAACCTCAGGCAAGTGAAGAAAAAATCAATAATATATTCATAAATACAGATGCCGCAAGACAATTTTTAAGCAGACAGTTGTCTTGGGTATCGGCTGGTGAGGATTATCTTGTTGAATATACAGAGAAACCTACAAGAATAATTAAGGAAAATGTGTCCAATCTCACAAACTTTGTTTATGAAGGTGTTAAAACTGTTGGTGATAAAGTAGCAACATTATCAAGACATGTTAGTGGAAGCAGTGATAATAATGACACAATGGAAATTCCTAATCCTAGTTTTAATGAAGAACTAAGTTCTCTTCTATACAGTTGTAACTCTAACAAGTTTGAAGACCTTCAATTTTCGACAAGCACAATCAGCAGTGAAAAAGAATTTGAAGCTACAAGGAAAACTGAAAATATCAAAAACATGTCAAAGTTAGGTAAAAATATATTGGCAACTGAATTATGGACTTGGGGTGACATAACACATGGACAATTAGGCATTGGAGATACAATGAAAAGGGTTAAACCTATGATTGTGATGAGCCTATCAGGTTTTGGCTTACAAAAAGTTTCTTGCGGTAAATGGCATTGTGCAGCTTTAACTTTGGACGGGCGGCTATTCTTATGGGGTTACAATCACTTTCAGCAAGTTAGTTTAGAATCTAGAGAAGATAAGAGTGGACCTAAGCAGTTTACAGAAAATTCTGACAGCGATCGCGTAAGAGACATGATAGCTACCGATCACCATACACTTGCGTACACACATAATGAAAATGTTTATTATTTGGGTAAGCATACAGATGGCTTTACAGAAACTGTTGTCAATTTAAATGAAAAATCTGAAGTTTCGGATGAAAAATCCAAAGACACTACAGTTAAATTGAGTGAAACTAAAACTCATGTGAACAAAACTGAAAACATGTGCTATCATTGGAGAGTGTTATCTTCTGGGAATATAAGTTATTGTTCTATAGAAGAATCATCTATTTGTCCGGAGTTTCAAAATTTGTCAATTGCTCAAAGATACTTAGAAGAGATGTTATTGATATATCATTCTTTAGTTAAGCCTTTCCTTAAGAAAAGCAAATCTATTACATTACATTCCAACGTTTACGAAACTGTTTGTGATATATTTGGTGACATATTAAATATAACGGCATTGAATGTGCTATCAACGTGGCAATATGCTGAGAAGCACATAAGTGAATGTGATATTTCTTTAGTAAAAAATCTAGAAGAGTTTATTTTTTTATATAAAAAGTATTATTTAGCTATAAGCAATTTGATTGTTATTGGTGGTTTCGCTCACATAAATAATATTGTGGATGTGCCGTCAAGTATTTATAATTTATTTAGTGACCAGCTACCAACGAATAAACAAAAATATAATAAGAAGACATTAGAAGCAGTAGTAGCGTTAGCCTTTGTTCAACCATTAACGAGATTAAGCTCTTACAAATGTATTGCTCAATCTTTGATACGCCATAAATTGAAGAGAAAAAAACATGATTCTAAAACGAATATCGAAGAAAAAATCAATAAAGTGATATCTTCATTCGATGGTTTAATAGAAGAACAGGAAAAGAAACGGAAAGAAGCAGAAGGTACAAAGTTATTCTGGGAAACTCTAGGAAAAAGTTTAGATCAATATAGGACACCCGAAAGACGTCTTATAAGAGATTCAAAAAGTCGACCCCTCAATCTTGTTAATCCGGGCCGATTCAGCAGCCACTGGTTCATTTTGTTCAATGATTTGTTCGTTCATGTAAATGGGAGTACAGCAAACATCCACCCATTAGAAACTCTATGGATTGAATCCGTCCAAAATACAGATTCATTGCAAAATGTCATACAATTAACAACACCAGAGGAAGTTATATGCGTTTCGACAATATCTGAACAAGAAAAAACAGAATGGATTCATAGCCTGAATGCATCAATTCGAACGGTCTTAAATAAAGAATCTGCTTTCAAACCTCCGTCAATAAGAACAGCTAGTTATACATTTTCTTCTAAGAGTAATTTTTATAAGGACGCTAAATATCACGGGAGATGGCTTGACGGTAAAATACATGGCAATGGAAAAATCGAATGGCCAGACGGAAAATTTTACGTGGGTCAGGTACAGTTGAACGCCTTATGTGGACATGGGAAAATGGAAATTCCTGGACTTGGTAAGTCAGAATTGATAAATATAATTAAGAAACTACAGAGATATACATGTTTAACATAATTTTTTCTCCAGGTTTATACGAAGGTCAGTGGAAAGATAATCTTCAAAATGGTTACGGTGTCCTGAAATACACTACAGGTGATATGTATGAAGGATATTTCAAAGATGGTCTTCCTCAAGGACATGGTATCAAAAAGCAGGGTGATTTCACTTCATCGACCGCAACTATTTATACTGGAGAATGGGTGAATGGTGTGAGGCAGGGCTACGGAGTTATGGACGATATTGGTAAAGGCGAAAAGTATCTCGGCAACTGGAGTGATAACAAGAAACACGGATGCGGTCTAATTGTTACTTTGGACGGAATATATTACGAGGGTCTCTTTACAGCGGATGTTTTGACGGTAATTGAATATAAATATATTTGTCAATTCATACTATTTTAGAATGCATTCATTTATTAGGTTTATTGTACAGGGCCATGGTGTAATGGTATTCGAAGATGGTACACATTACGAGGGTGAATTTCGGTCAGCTGGAATTTTCTCTGGGAAGGGAGTTCTAACATTCTCTAGTGGAGACCGAGTGGAAGGTTCACTCAGCGGAGCTTGGACGGAGGGCGTTAAAATATCCAACGCTGTAATGCATTTAAACGTCTCCAATCCAGTTTTACCTCCTAACGCTAAACCTGGGTAAAGCTCATTATTATAGTCATTTCTAATTTGAAATTTATTTTCACATAACGTATACTCATGATCATAATGTGTTACAGGTCATTTGGAAAATTAAGTGTAGCTCCGAGTCAGAAATGGAATGCTATATTTCGTCAATGCTATCAAAGCATGGGTGTGTCAGAAACGATTCTCACGCCGAGCGGTAATCATTTAGCCAATGGTTCATCAAATGCCCCAGACAACGTCAAAATATGGCAAAACGTAGCCGTAGCTATATCCAGTTCTCATAAACATTCGAAACCAGGAAAAAAGACGAGCGGATCTGATGTTGAGAAATCGGTTGATTGCCTAGAAGTTATACCAGTTTTCGGCCAAAAGACACTGACGTTAAACGACTTCACAGAATTAAAGCAGTATTTATACAATGTAAGTATTTTTATTAAAAAACAAATTCGTGCTATACTTAAACATAGAATGACGTTTGATCAGGAAAATATGTAAATTCCTTATCTTGAAAAACAATGCAGATAAAATGATCATATGTTTATATGAGATTTACATAATTGGAAATAGAATCTTATATATAAAATTCTCGTGTCGCGGTGTTAGAAAGAGAACACCTCCAAAACCCCTGGACCGATTTTGATAAAATTTTGTGAGCATATTGAGTAGGTCTGCGAATCGGCCAACATCTTTTTTTCATACTTCTACGTCATAAGGGTTGTTCACCCTTTTTTTGGGACGAATTTTTTCTGTTTTTATTTTTTTATAATGTAGCATTAAAAATACATACAACCCAAAATGTTTTATCACCAACCCCTATTTTTAACAACGATTGCTGGGTCAGCTAGTGTATTATAAAATATTCAGTACAAAAACCTTAATAATTCTGATAAATCTATCAATTTCCAACCCAGGCCTGCGAGTCAAATCATCATCCGCTGGGTCAATTGGTACTAAGTGTAACAAATGCCTTCAATACCACGTACGGCGGTGTGAGAGTTCATCCGCTCTTACTAAGTCATGCTGTCAAAGAACTTAAAAGCATCACTTCAAGACTGTACCAAGTCGTGAGACTCCTTTTCCCTGCGTTACCATATGAAGGAACTGTTTTAGTGTTGCCAGAAACCTCTGATGGAAGCTACCCTGAAAACAGCAATCCAATTGATGGGTGAGTAATGTTCCACTTAAATCCATATATATCTATTATCTATACTAATATTATAAATAGAAAAACTTTGTTTGTATGTCTGTTTGGTTGTAATATGGAATAAACAAAATTTTTGTACACTTAGAGTGGCACTTAGAGTGATTATATATAAGTCTAACTAATTTTTCCTTCCATTATTATAAATTCATAAGCGCTTAATTTATGTAAAAAAAAAAACATGTAAAATGGTTTTTATAAAGAATGTGTTATAAATAAAAAAAAAACATTTTGTTATTCTTATTCTTATAGTGCGTATAATAGTTATGTCTCGTGGCAAATGATCTTATCAGATAAAAAATATCTGCATGACTTGTTTAATTACACTCTTTTTATTGATAAAACTAATGACCCTAATTATTACACACATCTGCTATTTTTGTCTTTCTATTAGGATTAGTTACCGAGTCATTACTAATACACTATTATAAAAAAAAACGTGTATTTTATAGCCAATAAAGATAATAAATTAGTTCAAATTTAATATAAACCGAGGCTAAACTTCAAGGAGAAGTAGGTAGCCTCGTATTGAATACAATTAATTAAAACATTTTTTGTCTTACAGTAATAGATTATTTGAAACAATAAACAAAATCATTATTTAATTATAGAGGATAATTCCTCTACCCATTTTCTCACTTTTATTACCTACTCTTGTAGGAAACTAATTTATGGTCAATTTTCTCAATATATCAAATAAAAAAAATTCTAATTGGCCTACAAATAGTGTTTATTCTTAATCCTATGTAATTTTCTATTCTAATTATTTTCAGGGAGGTTGTGTCGAGCAACTCCTTACTGCAGCCTGTCCTGTTGCCAAGAGTTCACCCCGCCCTGTTCGTGTTATACGCGTTACACAACAAACGAGAGGATGATTTATACTGGCGAAGACTGCTCAAGTGGAACAGACAGCCAGATACCACGCTGATGGCTTTCCTTGGGATAGATCAGTATGAATTTTCATTACTATCTTATATATGTAACTTGATATTGGTCCATTCTTGTAGGCATTCTACAAGAATTGACAGAAGACGTATTAAAACGATCATTAAATATTTTTTTATCATTTAAAGCAGTCTGTTTTACGTGTATGTAGAGCCCTTATGGCTACGAAAGTATGTGAAGAAGAGTTGCAAGAAGTTTTCATTATTACAATTAGTCGTTTTATGTGAGAATCTAAGTATTCAGCCTCATTATGGAAAAATGTTATATGAAAAAAACATATTTCATGACCTAAAATACACGAGAAACACAAAGTGTAGGCAGGTGACGGAATATTTTTTAGTACCAAAGTTATATGAAAAACACTGCTTTAATAATTTGCCTCTGAATTTTTCCTACTCTATTAAAATCAGAAAGAAATAATCATCTCGATAAGAAAAATCAAAGATTAATCATATTATACATATTATTTTGCAGAAAATTCTGGACCGTCCATCGTAATTCTCCGTCGCCGATGCTCTCGCCGTCAAAGGAGCAAGTGTTTCAAGAGGCTGTTGAAACTCTCCAACAGTTGAAGACCACGTTTTCTCCGATAGAGAAACTCCTCGTTATCCGGAGCACTTTCCAAAAGATGACCACGGCCGTTCAACACGAATTAGGTATTTTATCAGAATATATTAAGTTAGAAATATTATTATTATTAGGTATTTTTTTTAATAGAATTTTGTCAAAATTTATTAAATATGTTTCTAAGGACACAGCCGGATAAGTATGGGTAATCTGCCCCATGGCTTTTTTGACCAACACTTAGGGGATCGATTCAGCATCAAATAAAAATAATTCACACCAATTTATCCCTTTAACTCGAACGACATTCGAGACTTTTAAAAAAACTGTTTTTTTTTATTTTAATTTTATTTTTATACTTACTGAAATTCGGAGCAAATCGATGGTGATTTTTTTTTCTTATTCTTAGGAGTCTAAAACATAAAAAAAAATCATATGATCATGGTTTTCAACGAAAACTCGTTTTTTAACAAAGAAAAGAAAATTAAAATCTTGTTTTTTTAACTCAGGGCAACATTATCTGTGGAATATGGACGAACTATTCCCTGTGTTTCACTTCGTGGTTGTGAGAGCTCGTATTCTTCAGCTTGGTTCAGAAATACATTTCGTAGAGGACTTCCTAGAGCCGGGGACTCAGTGTGGGGAACTAGGACTCATGTTTACTACATTGAAGGTATGTTTAATATTTTTAAGATTAGTTAGGTTATTAATTACATATTTATTTCCTTTTCATGTCAGTTTAAAAAGGTGGCTTAAAATTAAACTGTCATAGTTATAATTTATTATTTCTACGATCGTAATAATGGAATTTCTCCTCCATTACTAAGAATAAGAATATCAAAAGAAATATCTGATTTTTTTTACTTGTGATGTAAGTTTCTTTAGAAAAAACAAAATGTCTAGAACTGTGTTAAAAATTAAGTGTTTCTAATCATGTTAAATGTTATTTATTTTGTGATGTAAATTTACAGGCATGCTACTTCCAAATTCTACAAGAGAAAATGTCGATCAACACCTAATTACGATCTCATAATGGATGAAACTTTTAAAATACGTTATACAAGTACCTATAGATATCGCCGTGTTCGTGTTTTCAATTTAATATATATTTTAAGGAACAAATTTCTATGTTGATATGTAGTTATTGTTATCTTTAAATAGTATAAGGAACAATAAACCAGAGCAATACGATCAAGTGACATTAGCGTTTATAGTAATATAGTCGAGTTGGACAGTTAGTTTTTGCTTTCTTGTATCAATAGATTTTTATAAAACTTTTAGATACATTTTTAGTCAACTACAGATAAGCCTACAACGGTCCATGTTGTTTATTGTTTATGTGAGTGTCTGTATTTTCTAGAAAAATACCAAGAGTTTATATTGTCTAACGAAATAGGGACGGTATGTATGTTTAGACACAATTTTGCTTCGTCACACTAAATATAGAGTGTCAACTTGAAAGTGGCCAGTGCTGAGATTATAAGGGTCCTAAAAAGCCATAAGAGTGGATACCGTCTAAGGTCGCCTACTAAAAGTGTGCCTAGAAATAAACCGAGGACGATAATGATGAAGGAGGCATTGCCAGCAGCTTCCGAAGTTGTTAGTTAGTGTACTTTTAAATGTTGCGAAACAGTGGGGAAATTTAGGTCTCTGTGGAGATCATGCTGGATGGAGTCTGGATCCTAGTGTACTATGTAACTTGTATACATAGTTATCATGCCACACCCTATCAAATGCTTCAATAAATATTATCATGTAAAAATATACGTCGTAAAAAAAACGGCCCGGTCTTGTTCTTCGTAAACAGTGTGACGATGCAAACTTGTTTTAAGCAGTGTATACAATTGTTCATTCATATATAAACTGTATTCTGTGTGACGTTAAAAACTCGGAGTAAATTTACTGGACAAATATCAAGTTTGGGGCAAGTCCTTGACATTTTAAGAAGTATAGTGTACAACTACCTGTCCCGTGTAACATGTTGTGTGTGAAGTGGACGTTTTGAAAAGCCACGCAAATATTTATTTATATTAGGTAATATCTGAAAAAGGTATACAATTAAGTCGTTAATGCTGTAGCCTTTAATTCTATTCCCTTATAAGTTATTTTTTGTGTCGCTTTTACGCAACATTTGTACGCAGTCAAGTTTCTTTTATTTTTAACTTAAGTTCACATTTTTCAAATAATACGAAAATTTTTATTAGTCTCGATATTATATGCAATCTAATTATTGCTTTTTGTACGTCCCAATCTCCTTGCATTATTCTTATGTCATTGTTAATGCTTTATAGAAGTCAATTGTATTAAAATTGTTTATTATTTATATGATTTTATGTTTTGTTGTTTGATGCAAAATTGTGCCAAAGAGAAAGTTGTGTTTAATGATTGTTTAACGAGCGTTGCTTTCGTTTATTCCCTTATTAGCAATTTGTATTACAAAAAATATAATTTATTTGTATAGCTTTAATTATCTTTAAGTTTCATATCATGCTTGTATATTAATTATCTAGTATAGATTATATAAATTATAATGTGCATAAATGTTGCTTTAAATTCATGATAGTATAATAATTTTATTATATCATCGTATATATATCTTAATAAAATCCTCATAAACCCAAAGTACAAGTACAAATGTTTAAAACAAAATAAATAATACTGTTTATATGAACTATTATGTTATTTTATTTTTATATTGAATCATATAAATATTAAGTACACAACATATCAGGGAGCGAAATGTATGTGGGTTCCATGAAATATCATAAGCCATAATGTATTGTACTCTGTATTATACATATATATAAAATAAAACATTAATTTATATAAAAGTTTTTTTTTATCGATCAAAATAAAGGAATAAAAATGACACACGTTTATTATTAAGGCTATTTATTTCATTCCTATAAAATAACATACCAAATGTCTCTTTTGTACAACATCATATCAAAAATGTACACCACTATATAAATTTCGTCTCGGGTAAATGTTACCCATTACTCATGTCACCTATTCCCTTGCTATTACATAAATATTATAATTATCGTCTCTTACATGCCTAATCTCTGATAGGTAAAAAATGATCATATTTTTTTTTGTTTTTGGATCTGTTGTGTAATTTTAATATGGCAACACTACAATGTTAATGATATAATACATAGTTATTTAATGTTACAAGCTATAAAAAAAATATGATCATAGATGAAATAATAAAATCCACTTCAAATCCCTCCGGTAGTGCTTCACAATGTATCTACACACCAACAACTATAATTGTTAACTTACAACAATGACAAATCCCGTTTACAACAAATTTAATATCGTATTGCACTACCTAAATGATTCTAAAATGAAAATATTGTCGTTTGTCAAGCATTACGGAACTATTATATAACACAATCCAGTTACATACCAAATAGATATATTGTAAGTTACAAAACTATTTTGTTTACTAATATTTCGCTTAAAAATATAAATCTGAAGACATATTTTGATCTAAATAATAATAAAGAAATCTACATTAAATATTACATGATTTCATGAGTGCTGTAAATATATTATTTATTGAATATATAAAAATCATTGTAGGTGGGTAGCCAGTTGGTAAGTGTCTCAAGCAAACTGATTCAAAGTAATGTTACAGGGTACACTAAGTTTAAACTAAAATTATATTTAAAACATTCCTTGTTCCTGACTGAAACTATTTTGTACTTTTATTTTTGATTTTTTTCAGAACTCGACGATGTTATGAAAAAAAACTAGGTAACAAATAAATTAGGCCCATAACGATAATGTTGAAATTAAAAGTGGAGTTCAACTAAATAATAAATAAGTAAATTTAATACGTGCTATAGCTTTGATTTCATCATTACATTTTATACATACGACCGCTTAACAGTAAAAGTTAATAGAAAAAAAAATAATTAAAATTTACCATAATATAAAATATTTAATGAAAATAAATTATATAATTACATCCATAAAAAATATAATGATGTTACATCATAGTAAAACATGTAAAAAGCAATAGAAATATAATAACTAGGGGTAATTATGGGCACTGTACAATGAGTAACATTGTTTCTCTCTCATATATGATGGCTATGCATACTTAGACATATCGAGTTCTGTGCAAACTATTAGGACATCCATACTAAGTTAGTAAGAATACAAAACACATAGTTATTGCGTTAAAAATCACTATTTCACATAACTTACGCTAACATTAAAATACGATAAAAAAAACATTCGTCAATTAATTAAATAACAATGGATTCATATCTTAAAAGAAAATACTTTTATGACAAAAAAAAATATCAATAGATTTTATTGCATGCATTAATCTTCTATATAAATCGAAATAATTAACAAATATTTTAATTTCTAAACAACATGGACGATTCTGTGATTATTATTATTATTAATTTATTTTTTTTATAATTTTTATTTCTTATAAAATTTTCACGGGGAACATTGTTTTGTATTCGTTCGTTTAATGTACATTTGAACAACAGACATCTTATAGACTATAGAAATCAACATATATATTACTATGACATCCTAGAACTATGTTAATCCTTAAGAAATAAATGCTCTACGTGGTATCGGAAGAGAACAAAATTTTTATTACACACGACCAGAATTAAAACAAAAAAGAAAACAAATACAGACTTCTGCGTTTCATTAGAAACTTTACATGTCAAACAATATATTATATATTTAATTTATTTAAAAAAATCCAATATTATTATATAATAAAACGCAAAAGTATATGATGGTTGCGATAAAATTCTTTTCGATATATAAAACGATATGAAAGGGACGGTTGGTTCAATCAAAAAACATTTGCTATGTTATGATCGCTTGATAACTGATCAAAAAACATCTGGCTAAGGTCAACGACCCTCGAAATTAATAAGGTCATCCGAGCAATAGTTTTTACACACTAATAATTATGTATAATCACTTAAAACATGCACGTTTATATACATACTGATGACTAAATAACAAATGTCCATCGAAGAGGATTGCTTCAAAATTAACTTTATTACATATATATTAAGTTAATAATTAAACAAAAAAAAATCTTATTTACATTACCAGAACAATATGTGATCGTATTATTAAACAAGAATATTTTTCGCTAAGCAATAAGATAATAAGACGTCGAGTAAAAAAAAATGATTTCAATACATTTATACACCATGTATAGTCGCCGATATAAAAAAATTACATCAGAATGTGCGTCACAAGTGCAGTTATTCAGTACTCGTCTGCTTAAACAACTAATACTGAAAGCACCATTATTTCATCCTAATTAGTCGAAAACTATTTTAATGATTTAATTTTGAATTTCGTTACACACTACACACAAGGCTGAAGTATGAATTCCAGTAAATATTACAGTACAAAAATAAATTCAAATATTGATTGTTCCTTTAAATATTCAGATGCAATTCGAATGATTTTATAAATTTAAAATCTTAATTTAGCAATAAAATATTCAAATATATTTATATATAGTTTAAAAATTATAATGAGTTATTATATCAGTAGCAGAAATAATTAAAATGAAATCATTAAAGCCTCGCGTGTAGTTTATTTACATTTAATAACATTCGAACCGTGTATAATTAGTATAATAAAAAAATGACAATAATATATAAATTTTCTAATTAATACTGAGATATTAAAATCATTGTGCTGCAATACTGACATGAATTCTGAACACGATGTATATATAAAAATATATATTACTATACATATATATAATAAATTCATTAATTCATATAAGTCGACATCATGCGGGCGGTTCAAAATATTAAAAAAAAACCTTATACAGCGTGCTCTGATTTTGTTCAAATAAATTATCAATGTTAATTATATAAAAAATAATTGTACTTTTAAACACGACCCGCTTGATATAGGATTAAAAACATCATCCCTTACATGATTTTTTCAATAAAAAAATATAGATTACAAATATTATATTATACTATTGATTCAATCATCGTATCAAACTGTTCTAAGTAAATTTAAAACTCATATGACACTGACCCATTGACATTATTGTCTTTAAGGCATTTCATATAAATGTTTATACGATAGAATATTATATAATTCGCAAAATAATGGTATGTACACACTAGTCATTATGATAAACCGATCACATCAACGCTTATGTGCACAAACCTTTATATAAAGCTAATGTTACATACGTTTAGAACTTGTCATATAATAAAAAACAAAATGTGTTCTATATTAATATAGCCAGAATTCAATTTGTGCTCAATTGATTGATTCATAGTGCGATACGATACACGTCTACCCTTAGTATTAGTTTGCATCGTGAAACTAAACACACCTAGTAAACATATCGTGTTAAAACTGTAAAATGCGTTTAGTGTGACAATGCAAGTTCGTTGCAAGGGTACTTAATAATTATTCCGCCGCTGTGACCCTCACTTTTCGTTATATGTACAATATAGCCGAAGATATATCGTCTTATAAGTATGATAAAAAATATATATACATTAACGACGGCTACATAAGTTTCACGTGTATATAACAGCCGGTTAGAGAAATTCGTGATTGCAGGAGTCTTCGTATTTATATAAAGCGAACAGTTCAAAACAATTCCCATTACTTCGGCGTCACTCGAGACGGGTAACACTAACTTAGTCATATTTGATCCCAAGCACGATATAAAAACGTTGAAATCGATTTCGATTCGATAAAAACGACGACAAAAAAAACAAACATTTAAAATCGATAAAATCGGAGGAATAGAATAGAAATAGTTGCGGAAGCTAAACATCATAGGATAGAACGACCACAGACACATTATACGGACTTACGAACTAACAGATACCTAATATGTAAAATAGGTACAAATAACGTCCTTACTAACCAGAAGGCAAAATTGGCACTTAAGACGAAGTCGGCTCCTTTCTTGATGATCGTCCCTAGGAGGGTGAGCGCGTGCTCGTGCGCATGCGCGTGACCCGGCTGCTCGCGCAAGTGCTCGCGAGTGTGCAACACTAGCTGAGTCGAGCACGCGCCGTATCGCGGGCGCTATGTGGGCGAGCTCTGCGCTGGGTTGTATGGGTGGTTGGAGTTACGCAACACTGTGTACACACTGTCCACCTTGCTAAGTTTCTCGAAAAACGGTATCAGGTCGAGGAGCTCGGAGTCCGTCATGTCGTCGAACCACGACGCGACCGGCACCTGGAAACATCATTACATTTAATGAATAAATGATTACAAATGAATATACATACATGTATCACGTTCCAATTGCATAGAGAAAAGAGCTTTAATCCTACTAATATTATAATTGCGAAAGTGTGTGAGTGTGTGTGTATGTTTGTTACTTCATCACGCTCAAACCCCTGAACCGATTTTGATAAAATTTTGTATACAGGAAGCTGACGTCCAGGAATAGCACATAGGCTTACTTACATCCCGGAAATCCGCGGTTAACACCGCGGGGCGCAGCTAGTATTTTTATAATACCCTTTTACGTTTACTACAATAAAATAATATATATCTGACGAAATTTCTATAGTTTTTATTGCTCTCTGGAGCCAAACAAAGAGAAGTTTTCACAATATATATAAGTTGTATAGTATAGTGACTCACAGCGTTATCAGGGTGGAAGATGTATGAGGCCGGTGAGTTGTCCACTATGACGACTCGTCGCAGATCCCGCCCCAGGCTGTTCAGATCCTTGACGTAGTTCCCGCGGTGGAACACGCAGCTATCCCGGAATAGACGAGCACGGAACACGCCCCATCTGGAATCATGTTCACAAATGTTCATGTTAAATGTTCACAAATGATCATATTGAATGTTCACAAATGATCATATTATTGAATATTCAGAAATGACCATATTAAATGTTCACAAATGTTCGTATTGAATGTCTACAAATGTTCATATTGAATGGTCACAGATACTCAAATGGTCCCCATATAGTCGTATTGAAATGTCACACATTTTCGTACTGAATTTTCATCAATGTTATTATTGAATAAGTATTCAGAAATGGTCATATTAAATGTTCACAAATGTTCATTATAAATGTTCACAATGTACAGTTTTTTTATGTATAATATTACGAATTTATTTGCAATACAAACTAAAGTCTTCTTAACTGGTATGTATACTTTGACATTGTGAAATAATTATTTATTCCTTAGTACAACTGCGACTTGTATTAATATGTAAATTTATGTGCAATAAATATCCTCTTATATATATAAACATACATAGAGACTTCAATAGTTCAGTACAAAATGGATTTCTTAGCATAGTCTGAGTCAAAACTATTTAATAAATAAAATAAAGGGTTCTGAACAGATAGTTTTTTGATAATGTCAATGGTTTTTTTTATATTATATTATAATTTATATATTTATGTGAGACTATATATTATTTATGCCATTTAATAACACCTCAACCTACATACATACATACATTGAAAGCTTTCAGGTTTCAATAGTGATATTTTGTTAACTTTATCTTTAAAAAAATATAAATGAAAGTAAAGGTTATTAATTGTATAAATTAAACACTAAAAATTATTTAAAAATTCGGGTTAACGAAATATATTACGCACTCTTAATCTTATACCATAAATTTGTAAAAAAATATAAAAAAAACGAAATTTAAAATACTTGACACACTTACATGTGTATGATTCAACGAAAAATATAAAAATCACTTTTTACCTCTTCATTAAATACTTTTTGGTAATTTATTTTACATAACATACATATATTTGGCAATATTAAGTTTAGGGCTTAAATTTTTTAGGTAGGCAACACCAAATAAGCGTCTACAATACAAAAAAAATACAATAAAATCCTTTATTATGATTTTTAAACAACAAAAGAGGTGTTATTGAAGTATCCATCGTAGTCCTTCAGCCGACGTACTTATGATAAACGTACGAACAAAACGTACTTAGCGCCTTTCACTAGACCTTTTGCTTTTATATTATACTGATACCATTGTTTTGTTACAACTTACACTCAATACGACCAAAAGACGTTGAACTCTTTACATCACTATGTATATATTTTTATTCTATACATTTTATATAAATATTATTATATAACAAATTATAATTAAAATTTAATTTAACAAATAAATATTCATCAATAAAATATATAACTAAAGAACACATTACTAGATATAAAACTGAAATAAAATCAGCTTTCTTTCACTTACTTGATTGTAGTATTAATATTAAATATATTTAATTTTAATTATCATAGGTGTTTCAGTATTTGACAATCAAATTGGACGAAATTACTCAATATTGGACAAAAAAAACTTGACAAATAGAGGTAATATTATTTACTAACAACTATTTTATTTGAACTCACCTATCCAATAAGTCAGCGACTGGGTCCGCGTATTTCGCCAATGAAGCGGTGAAGAGCACGCATTCGTATAATTCACCGCATCTTCTTAGGAATTCATCGACGTGCGGCCTCTTCAACACATATACTTGGTGAACGGCACCATCTATTTCCACTGGTACCACGAAATCAGCGTTGTTGATTGGCTGCCAACGTAATAAACTATCAGTAACATTCATGAGCCTTAATACCTTCCAAATCAAGTATTATTTATTTATCTATATAGCATAGCTTATCCATACGAATCCAACTTTCACTCATTAACATAAAGCAGATATTAGAAATTGAATATACCAATAATTTTTACCCGTCCCATACATTCCACGCATTTTCTTTAACGAGCAATATATTTTTTTTTATTTACACTATGTAAATCATTATTAGCATAGATTAGCAAGTTTTATTTCATGCCAGTTTATCATTGGACTGTTTTTAATGTTATCCACGTATTTCCCGTCCATGTAAGCTTAAGTACATAAATAAATATAAAACACACGCACACATGCACATTCACACACACATAAAAAATGTCCTTGCATATCATGACATCAATTAGTTCGCCATAACAAGTACCTATAAAGCGACAAGTAATTTGTCAAATTTAAAACATCTGATTTGATCACAAATCTATGAAACATATTGATAAAGCTCTTATCATTATTTGATGTCTTCATTGACATTCATAACAACGGATATAAAAGATATCTGGAATATCATATTAATCAGTCAAATACAGTATTGAAAAAAGTCTATAGAATTTTCTGTTCTACGATATTCTTCCACAGATTTTAACACAGTAATATTAAAGAAATTCTGGGAACACAATTTAGTTTATTAACACTTAAAGAGACCAAATGAATATAAAGTTTCAATCTTCTACTTCGATCGAACTACCAATAGAATATACATCACTGCGTTTATAAAACAAGTTCCGAGATAATCAAGCAGTTTTACGTTGTTTGTTCAAATTATAGTGATTAACCGTAAATAAAAAGACCCTGTTAATTATTAGAGGAATGTACCAAAACATAGGTTTGAGAAACAATGTTTTTAAAAGGTTGTAAACTCACTGAAAAGTTATAGGCATAAAGCGGCAAACTTTATTCCATGTCAATATGTATCTTACAATTAGTATCATAACAATTTGCGCGCGAAATATACATCGTCACTTAACAATGATGACAGATATCCCTTGATACTCCCGCCAACCCTTCGGATAGGGTTGCCATATAAGTATCATTCTAACATCCAATTTACTCTAAAAACTTAAGTAAAGTCTGGACGAATAACTAGTGACGAATATTTAGAATTGTTGCAATTACAAAAAAAAATCAGTTAGTATTTTAAAAATAAATATATCAATCATGTCTATTTTAAATGAACCAAAATTAAATTTCAAGAATAAAGTTCCAATTATACGTATTTTTATAAGACAACGACATGTTTGAGAATTAATATACTTCTATGAATATCAACAAAAACCATGGCAGCGTTATGAAAACATAATGAAGCTAATTAATGCGCATTGTAGTCGACTGACTCACTAGTCACTGGTAAACTGTAAGAATCCCACGTAAAAATAACAACACAAACGCGACACCACATAATTTATGTAATTAAATCATAAACTTTATTGATCTAAATTATAAATATACTTCCTCGACATATTTAAGCAGTTCAAAAGATATTATTAAATTTATTCATTTGGAAAGAGTTTTAGACATATAAATAAATGTTCAAAGTGACTTAAATACACGACTTTATTGACTATTTCCAGTTTTATTCTCATTTTATTTATAAATAGAATATTAATTCTGATCACGTAGAGATTCTTTTGAAAGTAAAACAATAGTTATTGTGACAGAAATTTATATCCCCTTAGTAAGGCAACGACCTGATGCATCCTGGGATGAATTATCGATTAAGAAATTTTATACATTTTCCATACAAAATGTATAAATATAATAAAATCATTTTTTATATGCAAAAAAAACGTTATCACTCAAAACGCATGCGTATCATTGTGAAACAGTCTACAGAGTTCCTTCAACTTCCGAGCTAAAATTATATTCTATTTTCAACGAAACATTACTTTTTAAATATGTAAAATAATCAATAGTTAAAAAAATTTCAAAATATATAAAAAAAATAGCTATTTAATATTTCTTTAAGGTTGCCCTCCCAAATCGAATTCGATGCTTAACGTGCTTAAATCTAAAATAATTTGACACCAAAATAATAAAAAACGTAATATAAAAAAAATTGAGTTAATATTATAACTTAAGTGCAAAAACATTTTTTTATATTTTATATGTATTTAAATATGATCACGGACAGACAAGATGTGAGATCACGGTTGCTGTAAAGTAGCCGAAATGTCGGGAGTATGTAGTTTATAGTCAAAAATAAAAAATCGCGTAGTAAGTCCGAAAATATTAGTTTCATTTAAATGAGTAATCGCGAAAATCTTAAATCTCTTTATATGTATTTTTCTACATATATCTTCAATTGTCCATAATATAATAATTTACGCCATTTAATTACTAAATTGGAACATGAAAAAAAGTATATTTAGAAGCTATTTTCATCTTCAATGCATTTTCTGGGCCACTTAATACATTAAAGTTATTTTAATTTCAATATACCATAGCAAGTTCAGTAAGATCAATTAGCTAGTTATTAAGACCAGGCTTCCTTACGAATGAGTCAACACAGACTTATTTGGTTATTAGATAACATCAAAAAAGTGAAAGCTATGACAGAATCGTCTTTGTCTTCCTTCATTACAATGGATAAAAAAAAAAACAAATGTATGAGAATGAATAAATTATTCGAAATAATTCGATAACAAATATTTAACACATAAAAATGTAAAATTACAGTTCATTCATTCATTTCATTTAAACAACTGTTAATTGTCTTATCATTCTTTGTTCATTATATACAAGTTAATAGGAAGAAATCGCCTTGTTTTTTTTAATATTACGACCGTTAAAAACTAATATAGACGTCTAACACACTCATACAGAACAATATGCATTGTCACTTATTAATAAGAAAATTATTTCATATCAATACTTAAAACTTCTATTGAATTCATCTTTCAGCAACTTTTGTGGTTGCTGAAAATATTTTCTACATAAGTTGAAATGTACAATAATATGTATATCTGAAAATCATTATTATATAAAAAAAAAACGAAACATTCTTATTAGAATTCCAAAACATTAGCCAGATTTAATTCCTCTTATATCTATGATAATGATCTATTTACGAAAAATGTATTTCATATTACGCAGAAATGCCTGATGTCTAAATATTATAATATAAATTAACACTCAGCCAATGTACATAATTGTATATTCTAGTAGTGACCTCATGCATGTTTGTATAAAACATAATCTATAATAATTATGGGTTATTATATAAGTGGAATTTCCTTTTAAATATTTATTACCCGATAACTTATAATTTATGTGTAAAAAAATGTAAGCTGGAATAAATTTCATTCATAAATTAAAATCGGTGATTTAATGTCAAATGAATGCTGTTAAGAACTAATTTATAGAAAAGTATAGAACAATTTATTTAAAAATTATAGTAATAAATAATAATAGCCGTACAACACTTCATAATTGTATTTAGTATGACATTTTAAATACTTCCACAATTATCTTGTATTCAACACTCAAAAATGTGAATCAATCATTTATATTGTTTAATTTAACTAACAGTAAATGTAATCAAGACAATTATAATAATTATAAACCTAAAATACCTACTTTTTAATTATTTTATATAAAATATTCATTCAACATTCATTTGTTTTAATGACACAGTAAACTGAATGAAAATATATACAGCTGCATGCAAAAGTATTAGGCACCCCTATTGTTAGTCACTATCTAATTATATTGCGGTCAAGTCTGTGTTTTATGGTTTAGCTATTGTATTAGCGGCAATTTTTAACCAAATTAAGATAAAAGAAAATATTTATGACATCCAGGTGTGCTCCTAAGCGGTGTTTCTTCGAATTTGCTTTTTTTGCGTTTCGGGTTAAAGTGTGTTATCAGTGCTTGCAGTGAACATACACGTCTTCTACGCAACTATTCCTATCACAATTCTAAAGACTAACATTAAACGTATTAATCATGCCGAAAAAATCTGAACTTAGTGCTGAACAGCGTCTAAGAATTAAGATTTTACTTGAACAAGGCATGTCTCAGGTTAAAATAGCCCGAGAAGTGAAGTGCTCGCGATGTGCAGTTCAATATGCTATAAATCGCTTCAAAGAGACTGGCACCCATGAAAATAGACCAAGAACAGGCAGAAGAAAAGTTACTACTGAACGGGAAGATCGATTGTTGATTAGGCAGTCTCTACAAAACAGGAAAAAAACTGCTTTAGAGCTCGCTGCAGCATTATCTGAGGCAAAAGGCAGCTCAGTGAGTGTTTATACTGTGAGAAGAAGACTTCTTGAAGCTGGATTAAAAGGATGTAAAGCAAGGAAGAAGCCGTGGCTGTCAGAACACAATAAGAAAAATCGGTTGGAGTGGGCACTCAAACATAGAGATTGGTCAGTGGAAGATTGGTCCAACATACTGTGGTCAGACGAATCTAACTTTGAGGTATTGTTATTTATTTTATGTACAATATTAAAACACATAAATATTTTTAAAATAACGTACTGCAAGAAAAATAATAACTTTGAAAATAAATGTGTTTTTTTCGTTTGGCATAGGTCTTTGGAACACCCGGTGTGACTTATGTTAGGCGAAGGGTTGGCGAAGAATACAACCCAGAATGTGTGGTTCCCACTGTTAAGCATGGTGGAGGCTCAATAATGATCTGGGGCTGCATGGCTGCCGACGGAGTGGGCGAAATGGTGTTGTGTGAGGGACGAATGAATAGTGTTAAATACACTGAAGTTCTGGAAACAGCACTAGCAACGTCGATAACGCAAATTTTCGGTGATACAAACACCGATGGCCCGAAATTTCAGCAAGACAGCGCCACTTGCCACAAGTCCGCGCATACCATGAAGTGGTTTGCTGAAAATCATATTGATCTCTTAGACTGGCCACCACAATCACCAGACCTCAACCCGATTGAGCATATTTGGTCCATTTTAAAGAAAAATATCCGCAGGCACTCGATTAGCAATAAACAAGCTCTATTGGCCGCGTTACAGCAGGAATGGAAAAATATATCAAGAGAAGAATGTTTCAGGCTGGTAGAGTCAATGCCAAAAAGAGTGGCTGCGGTTATTAAGTCAAAAGGTGGACCTACAAAATATTAATTATTTTCTTAAAATAAACCATTGTAATCATAAATGCAGTTTTATTTACACTCGCTATGCTAAAACACCCTAAAACTTGTCTTACTGTAGGGTGCCTAATACTTTTGCCCGTGGCTGTATTATGGCATGTTTACATATTGTTCTTCTAAAATGCAATTAATTATATAGGTTTTATATATAGATATTTATATAAATAATAGTGTCATTATGAATATTGTACCCTTTTTGTATGTATATTTTAAGTCACTTTTTTTAATAGCGCACAAATAAAACTCCACTACTTTGGCTGACTACGAAATATATTATATGTACTATAGTTTACCCAATTCTACAATTACTTTACAGCATCCATAGTTATAGACAGATGAGGTTGACGATAAATATTATAAATTCCGAGGGGACGATTTAACTTTACTTAAAATATTTTTTTTGTTATTGTTAAAATTGTAAATAAATATAATTGTTTGATCTTTATTTAAATATCTCAGGTATAGTTAGTTCCATAGGAAGCCTGACACCTGTCTTTATTTAGAAAACTTAGAAGCTATTATAACTGATTTACCGACAAACCTATATTAATAAAAATTTTGTATTGCTAGATAACAACAACTGAATAAAACAATAACCAAGCTATGATAATTGCATAATAAGATAAGTAAATACTATTATATATAGATAATAGATAAATTCCAGTATGAATATCGGCAATAAAGGTATAACAGACTGTATTGTGGACACAATTCTAATTGAAAACCAAACCAAATCTATATTATGATGTAGTGTTTATGTTTTATGATGACTGATTTCATAATAATCTAGATATCTAACCATTACACAATGATAACAGAACTAAAGTCAAAATGTAAATAGGCTCGTGAACTTTAAATTACATAAATAGCACTGATAATAAAAAAATATATATAAACAAACCTTACCTTGAAAGAACTGTGTACTAAGGTTTCGTCGAGATCTATGACCATACATTTTTTGTGCATATCCTGATGTCTCACTGGTGGTAATAATGGTCGCGGTGCATGGTCTGACATAACAAGAAGGGGGGGTGATGCTCTGCCATCGATACTGTTGGTGCCATTTCCACCGGGGGGCCCTTTTCCGCGGCCCCCACGCCAACAACACAGTAAAGATCGTAGGAAACCTCCACCGCCACTCGACTTCTTGCTCCCCAATGGAGTGGAGCCAGAAACTGGCGTTCCATCCTCGTTATTTTGCTGTCCGCCAGGTGAAGACCCTATAACAAACAATTCGGCCAAACTTGACACCGCACTCAAGGAAGTTCGTTCGTACTCTGGGTGTGCCGTAAAAGACGAATTCTCAAGGTTGCTTGCGAGAATGATATCTCAGCCACACGTTTGAATTGTTTACTTCAGCGTTGTTCTCACAATAAAAATAATACGAGTATATACCGACCACAATTCTATTAAAACATTAGAACCATCAGTAGTAAACTTATACGTTTCGTTGAAAGGTAACACTATACGCTCTAATTTCATGGCAGTGGGTAACAGGTGTAGCTGGGTTTAGTTTTACCTCTTTCAGATCCATAGTTGTTTAATTGTTCGTCATCCCGTGACACTTGAGTTATAATGGACGATGCGTCCATTTAAACATTTGTTTTGGGCCTTGGTAGAAATGGCAATGACGTTATTGAAAAATTTTAACACCATAAAACTATTTTTTATCTTCCTTTTATTTCACAAAATGGCAGGCTGGCTCTGGGCAAATACCAACTAGAAGCGCCGCCAACATTACAATAACAGACACTATATCTCTTTCTGTCATACTGGGGAAGAAGAAGAAATTGATATATACATTCTTTAAGTTACTGAAATTGTCAACAACCTTTTACGTTTGAATGTTGCTAGGTTCACAAATATAACAACAAAACTGTCGTAATAAATTCGATGCAGTGAATGTTTGTTTCACGTATGAAAATTAAGAGTAATCGGTCGTATATCACATGAGTTGAAAAGTATCGATATGAAATTTATTAATTTTTAATTAGGCATATCAATCCTACACATCATCAGATAGATATATGTTAAGACTTGTGTTGAACCAATTTCAACACAAGGTAAAAAATAGAAAAAAATGTTGTTCGGCATAGTTGAAGAGTTTATAAGTTACGCTTACACACCGTGGATTTATTTGATTAATAAATATATTAAACAGTGCTTAAAAGTATGTACTTGCTAAAGTTTGTTTTTTAATGTTAATAACATTTATTTACTTTATCTTGTGTACAACAAACAATTTGTTTTTATTTATAATGTATTTATTTAAAACAATATATTTTTAAAAAAACCTTTTCATTAACGTCAAAAGTTTCAATAGTCGGAAAGTGACATTGAGTCGAAAAAATCGTGTCTAATAATCGATTTTTTACATCACTGATTTTTGATGATAGTTAAATTCAATATATAAGTATGAAAAATAAGCCGTTGTGAGATTTTTAGATTATGAATACACATCTGAATTATTCGTTTAAATTTTTCAGTATTTAAATATATTTTTTTTTACTAAAAATAACAAAAATCAGAAATATTATGTTTGATCTCAAAATTAGGAAACACTTGCTAGCAGATTTGGTTTGTTTTATCATTGGAAGAAGTTCTTATGGTCAACATCAATTATTTCTGGATTTAAAAATAAAAAGAAATAATTACAAAAAGTATCACATATTATTACATCGTTGTAAATAAAGCTGGTTAATTTTTTTTTTTAAGAAATATAGTGGGACTATATTTCTTAAAATAAATTTAAGTGATTCTTGAGTAAATTTATTTACATTTTTTTCATCTCTCGAATGGTATAATTTATGAAAATCGATTTATATTGTGCAATTCATATAAAAATCGATGATAAAAACAAGTGCTCGAACTAAAAAAAATCGATTATTTATTCACTTCATTGTTCATTACGCATATGTTTCTACGACATGTATACTGATATGTGATTGTCTAAATATAGTAAAATAACGGGAATGAAGTTAAAATAAAACATTAAAATAAATAAGAAAGAGTGACTTGAAGAATTTCTGTTATATAAAAAATTATGTCGGATCAGCTGCCAAATCGATGGCTTAAATGTCCACGTTTAAGTAACAAACCAATTTCAGATAAATTTGTTGCTTTTAAAACACCCCTGGACTCAAAATTTAATCACAATGTACCTGAAATGTATCGATTTACACCATCAATGGTTTTTGACTACGTTAAAAAGTATAAAGTAAGTTGTAATTGATTTTTTCAATATAACATCTTAAAGATACACTTTCCTTTGACATTGCTTATAATAAATAATTTATTAAATATTACAGAGAAGATTAGGTTTATGGATAGATTTAACAAATACATCTAGATTTTACGACAGAGCAGAAGTTGAGCAGAGAGGGTGTATATATAAGAAATTATCATGTCGCGGTCATGGGGAAACACCTTCAGTTCAACAAACCAAGTACTTAATTATTGTTTTATACCAATAATGATATATTAAAGACCTATGTGACCTATAATAACATTAAACATACAAATTTCAGACAGTTCATAAATGTTGTGAGTGATTTTATTGAACAAAATCCAAATGATTTAATCGGAGTCCATTGTACTCATGGATTTAACAGAACTGGTTTTCTTCTCTGCGCCTATATGATAATGCAGGAAGATTGTGGTGTAGATTTTGCCATCCTTTATTTCGCTCGTGAGAGGTTTGTTTTGTTTTTTTTTTATATTTCAATGTAACATGTATCTGTTTGATGGCAAGGAATTACGATAAATGTTTAATACATTACTATATCACAAAGTAACAATATTGTAGTATGCAATTTTTTCTTTTTGGTAAATATTGTTCCAACATGAAAAAAATATATATTAGTAGATCAAATTCCTGTTATACATTCTTTAATACCACAGTTTTTATATAGAATTTTGTGATGTGATTTTAGACCGCCCGGTATTTACAAGCAAGATTATATTGATGAACTAATAAAAAGATTTGATAATGATTTTTCAATGGAGGCTCCCATGAAACCTGATTGGTGTGATGGTAAATGAATATTAAATATTTTTAAGGAGTAACAAAATATAATCTGATGTACATATATAAAATAATGCAGATAATTCATAATATAAAGCAATCTAATAAATCTTAATTAAAACAAAATCTGTCTAAAATCTAAACATTTGAATATAGGTTCTGTTTTTATTTATTATACTAAAGAAGCTGAAATAATTATTTATAAGCAAATAATCATAGAATTGAGTCAAGAGCTTTTAAATAGTTTTTTAATATATATTACAATAATTATTCTATTTTAATTCACAGAAGAACAAATTGATTATGATGATGATGACAGAGAGGGCTCTAGTCACTCACAGAGTAATTCTTCAAAAAGGAGGTATGATTATACTATAAATAAAAGTAATAAATCTCTTATAAATATAGAAGATAAATTTTGTAAGTAGCTAGATGCTATTTCAATATTTTTCTATTTTCATGACTTTGCAGTATTGAGATTTCATAGATCTGAATTATTTGTCATCAGATATAAAACAGTACTATAGCAACAAGTTTATTATTACTATAATTATATAGAATTAATTTATTATAACACTCCATTCATAGAATAATAGACATAATGAGATCTAAGTTTTTCGCGAGTTTTATTTATTTAAATGAAACTAATATTTTTCGTAATATACTACGCGACATTATTTTTTGTAAAAATCTACATACTCCCGAATTTTCGGCAACTTTTCAGCAACCGTGATCACGGGCAGACGAGATGTCACGTAGTATAATCCGAAAAATATTAGTTTCATTTAAATAATAGATAAATTTTAAGGGAGGAGAAATTCAAAAACAAAAAATTCATGATAGAACACGAAAAAATAACATTATTAACCGACATTACAAGAATCAAAGCGATACGTGCGAAAGCATCCTCATATGTGAAGTGGAAACCGAGTGATTTCCCAGGAGCTCAACCTGTTTCAATGACTAGGAAAAATATAGAACATTTGAAAAATATGCCATATCAAGTATCTTGGAAAGCCGATGGTGTTAGGTACATTATTTATATAAATTAATAATAATTTTTAATTCATATATTCAGTTTATGTATTGAAATCATATGTAATTTTATAAATACTGCTTTTTGTACTTATACATATATGAACATATATAATGTTGAATATAGGAATTTTTGTGTATTTATATTATTATAAGTTAGTGAGCAAGTTTGTTAAAAATAATCTTAATTCATTTCAGATACATGATGCTTATTGAAGACGAAGACGCAGTTTACATGATAGATAGAGACAATTGTATATTTCAAGTGGAGAATTTAAAATTTCCTCATAACGCAAAACCGAGACATCTAAGGAACACTTTACTAGATGGAGTGGGTTATTAAATGAACCATTATAAATATTACAGCTAGAATATTATATATGTATAACATTAATTTCTATTTTCTCATGCAATACGCATTATTATATTAATTATTCTATAATTTGTATGAAATAGATTCTTTTTAATCCACATATTTAAAATTTCCTCAATTTTTATTATATTCTATTGGCATATATTAAATATAAGTAAGAAGATTTATATATTTTTTGTTCTCAGGAAATGGTTATAGACAAAGTTGATGGTAGAGAAAAACCGAGATATTTAGTTTATGATATAATAAGGTTTGAAGATATAAATGTAGGCAAAGACCACTTTTATCCAGTGAGACTTCTTTGTATAGAAAAGGAAATTGTTAATCCTAGGTAAGAGAAAACAGACAATTTTAATAATTAAAGATAGTCTAAAAATTTAAGAAAAATGGGTTAAGAATTAACCATAATATATTTTTATGATGTTTAATTTGATCACTAATAAATTTAATTAAATTAACTTGTTTTATATTAAATATTTAAAAATATTGCTATATTTTGATCTTGATAATAATTTATTTAGACTTTGTGGATGAGAAAAACTTTCTTTACTTGTATACCATAGATCCATACAGAATAATACATATAATACAATACTACAGAATAATGATATTTGAAATTAAGAAAATACAAAATTATCATAATTATCTTCCTACAGTTCAAATTTTGAAAGTTCGAAACGAAAAGTTTTTAAATGAACGTTATATATTCATTAATAGTACATCACAACACATTTATTCGTACAGTGCTAAAGTTTTGATGCGTTTTTCATTTAATATTATAAAAAAAAACTTTGTTTTGCTTTCAACTAATGATTATTTCAAAGATATTTAATAACTATGTGTATGTGTATTTGTTTGTTACTGTGACAAGCAAAAGCTTCTAAAGCCATTATCTGTAACATTAGAAAAAGTGGAACTAAAAGCCTAAGATGTATCTTAAATCATGAACAAAATAATCTTTTTTTTTTAAGAAATCGAGCTATAGTGAGTGGTCATATAAGAAAAGAATTGGAACCATTCAGTGTTATCATAAAACGTTTCTGGGATGTAAGGATGGCTCACAGCTTGTTGGAGGAAAAGTTTATAAGGACACTGCATCATGAACCCGATGGACTCATTTTTCAACCATCGGAACTGGTACAAATCTTTATATATTACATATATAATTCTTCTGTGAGTGTGTATGTCACTGAACTTCTCTCAAACGACTGGACTGATTTTGATGAAATTTTTTGTGTGTGTTCTGGGAATAGTTTAGATTCACAGATTTCTGCGCTGGACAATGTTTTTTTAATTAATTTTTAATTTATTAGTAGTTGTTGATACAAACGTTTTTTTTTGGAATTTAAATTTGGCAACTAACTAATATGTCAATCATTCTGTCGCACTTCAAAAGACGGAGTTTTATGGCTTTCATAGGTAAACTCCAAAAATATAAATAAAAAAACGTAACAGATATTTCTTGATTATAGGGCTATACGAAGTTCGCCGGGTCTTCTAGTATTTATATATATTGGGTAGAGAGAGGAGCTTGAATGGTGGAGTTGAGCGTTGAACGCGCTTTGGATAGGTGTCCCTTAAACCTACACTTGGGTCACAAGTCCCAGTCACTGTTGAAGCTCCTCTCCCTGCAACTATGGACCCGACACCCACATGGTGAACCCATGGAATGCTGAGAAATTTCGTCTATTGCCACAAATAAGATTAATAACAACAACAAAAGCAATATTTTGTTCCAATTAGATTAATTTGTATCACAATAACTTAATAGATAAAGTGATTGCAAAGTTATATTTGGGATGTTGTAGGTTCAAATCCTATCTGTGTCAATGAATCATTCTTAATTTCTATTCATGTTTCTGAACGTTATCCCCATTAAAATATAATTATAGCATCAGCTATTTGAAAGGTAAAATTGTGAAACCATTAGTTGTGGTTTTATATTATAAAAATATATTATTGAAGAGCATCTTAGTTTTTTATCCTTTAAATAAACAACTAATGTTTTTGTTTCATTCATATGTATTGATTGGTCATATGCCATATAGATTTTATTTATATATAAAACTATAAATATTATATTAATTTTAGTGTGATATTTTTTTGTAGCCCTACACAGGCGGTCCCTGCGAACACATATTAAAGTGGAAACCGAGTGAACTAAACAGCATTGACTTTAAACTTGTTATAGAAAAAGAAAGCGGAGAAGGGTATGACATAAAAAAAAATATATTTTTTTAATTCATATTAATTTTATTTTTTACTTTTAATATAATTTTACGACGCCACATAACCGTTAGTCAATACAGTTGCTTATTTTGTTGTGAGGTTGACAAGTTTAAAGGTAATAAATATCGTCATTAAACTAATAAATTGTTGGGTATTTGTGTATATTATTTTTTACCAACGACACAAAAAGAGGTTATACTGTTGTCGATGGCTGTGTTTATTGTATGTCTTTAGCATCGTAGGTCTCAAACGGATCGACCGATTGCGATGCAGTTTTTTTAATATGAAAGTCGGTTTGCTTTGGTTGGTACTTAGCCCATCGGATTAAAAGTAGTAGCTTTTTTTAAATTAAGGCATTTCACTATATAAAGTCAACTATTAACTGTTTCACGCGTGCCAGTGTATTCGTTAACAGACAATTAGTACTTTAAGAACTTTTCTTTAAATTTTTTTTAATTTTCTTTACCAGAATTGTTACTAAAACGCAAGGCAACTTATATGTCGGCGGATCGAATATTCGTTTTGGATGCCTACCATATAATAAGACTATCAAGGATTTAAACAACAAGATAATTGAATGCAAGCTGTACAATGGCCAATGGGTCTTCATGAGGGAACGAACGGATAAGTCATTTCCTAACTCCTACACAACAGCTATGGGTAAGTTTTTATGAAGGTCATTATTAACAGATATAAAATTTTCCTTTATTATTCATACTTTGTATTACTTATTAGTAACAAAAGTCATTTTAATGTTTTCTAACGTTTGTTTGTTACATAAATGAACTAAACGACTGTTCCAACAGCTTAGGTCACTCAAACTACCAAACGAATTTATTTGACGGTTAGGTAGTTATATATCTGGCATGATTCATAACATATGGCATTAGCCCTACAAAATAAAGGAAAGACCCTTAGTTATGTGTAATTATTTGTATTACCAATTTATGTAATTTAATAAAGAACTTTATCAAATTATTTTTCTTCTTACAGCTGTAAAGGAGAGCATCCTTAATCCGGTTACAAAGGAATATCTGTTGGACTACATTAAATATAAATCTTACGGTCAATCAGACAGACATCAATCAAAACGACCGCGCCTCGAATAACAATGATATTGTTATAGATAATTCCCAGATCGCGTCGACATAATCCACTTTTTGTATTATGTTATATGATTATATAACTATAAGAATATCTATTAAAATTTTCCTCCATAAAGAATGCATTAAACCATACTTTTTCTTATAAATCCTTCCAATCAAAATGATCTCTGCGGCTCTGTTAACTGTCAACACGAACCATAGTTGTGAATAAAAATATTGTTTTTATTTTTTATTACCATGAAATATATTTATAAATTTGAACATCAAAAAAGGCTATTAGTTACAATGTTTTTTGTAGTAAACTGTATTACGAACTCATAATATTCTATATCATTTGTGCATCTTAATGATCTATCTGTATGCTTAGTACAATTTTACATCGCATACAAATTAAGGTTTTCGTTTTTTTCATATCATACATTGACACAAGTGCAAGGAATTATGAGAAACTGCTAACGTAAGGTAACAAGCACTGAATTCTTGAATTGCAAAGAAAGTTCATAGTTAGGTACATTACATTAAACTGTTTTCTGATTAAGCCATTATCTAATTAATCATAACGAAACCTAACGAACTATTCTATTAATATCATTTTTGAATATACGATGCTAAACTAATAAGGTAATTATTGTAATATGTACACTTACAAAACAACTACAGTATTTATTAAAAATGTTGATAAAATTAATTATGGTACCATCATTTAGTTCATATCAAATTATTTCCTCTTATATATGTATAATGAATTCTGTGAAGCCAAAATATAAAGCGACCAATGCTCTTTTTAAATGTATATTTTGAAAGTCATCCCGGAATTGGATACCGCAAGTGTTAAATTTTATATTTAAGTTTAATAAACTCGGTTATCCAATGAAAAGAGGTTTTATTAAGACCCAAAAGAATTGTAACAAAGGCTGTAAATTTATTTAATGATTTAACAATAACAATAGTACATTTTTGTAATGCCAATAAAAATATATTACAAGTTACTTTGCACAACTACATACTGCCATCTTGTTTCACCATCTCTATCAACACATTTTATTTTATTCTCTTTGGTTAATTTTGTTAAATGATGATTAACATTGTAAGCAGCAGCGGCCCAAAGATGTTCCGGTGTCTCAGTGTATATCAATTTAACCAAATCCATTTCATTTAATTGCTTATCACAATTATTTCTTAAAGTTTCAAGAATTTGTTCCTCTCTCTGATTTCTGTGAGCAATGTAATATTTAATTTTTTCTATTGGATTCTAAAACAGAAAGAAATATAATTAATAAATTATACAGTAAAGTAACATGAATAATCATATTAAATCAAATATTTTACATCAACAACATTTCCATGGCCAGGATATATAGTTTCAGGATTCAGGTCTAGAATTTTTTGTAAACTTTTCATATAAGTATATAAATCTTCAAACACAGCTGTGCCTTCACCGAGTATGCAATCACCACTAAAGAGTATATTTTCTTCCTTTAACATAAATACAACATGATCTGTTGTGTGTCCCGGTGTGTGGTGCACTTTTACTGTCGCACCTTCTACCTTAATTTCTTGTCCATCCGACAACCAATTAAGTGGGATTTCCTTTGGTAAATCATCATCTGGTCTATCGCTAGGATCACATTTATGTTTCCAAACTTTTGGTGCTTCTAAAATTTCATGTTGCCATATAAATTTTATATTACACAAATGTGTTTGAAAATCTTAAATTATACTGCCTTCAAAAACATACTTGCAATAGACCCATATAAGTTTTCAACCCCACCAATGTGATCGTGATGCCAGTGTGTCAACACTATGTGTTCTATATTCAACTGTTCAGAATTTACCACATCTGATAAATGTTTTTGATATTCTCCAACATTTTTGTCACCCGTGTCAAGTAGTATGCGGCTGTGAAAATAATTACGTTTAACATCGGAAATAGATAATTGTTATTATTTTATTTAAATGCAATAATACAAATAAATACTTACTTTTTTCCTGTTCCAATTAAATAAGTATTAGTACCTTGCAATGTCATAGGCCCAGGGTTACAACCGAGAATTCTTATGATCCTGCTAGACAATTTAGTTATAGCAGGAATTACAGCTGCCATTATAAAATATTATCTTAATGGTACAAAAAGATATTATTTTAAAAAACTAATAACCGTTGTGGTTACTTCAGGTATTTACTGAGAACTAAGCTATGATATTATTTTCAAAATAAATCTAGAGGAATGTAAGTAAGTAAATACAATAAATATTAATATCACGTAAAATAAACATTTATAGCACCGGGTAAAGGTCAAAATTAATGCCTAATAAAAGGTCTTCAATCTTGACAGAATTTTACATGTCAGAAGATATTGTCAATATTCATATACATTACAAAAATGTTATCGTTTCATAAATTATGAAACATAATTGCTTAAGGTTTCCTAAACCTTAGAAGTTAGAAGGGTGAGAATTTCATTTTAATAATATTTTTGGAGTGCATTCATTCCTTATATTTATATTAAAATTATTATTATTTTATAATATAATGCTTTTATGATAAAAGAATGTTAAATAAATTTGAATTAAGAAAATAGATTAGTTATTATAGTGTTAAATTTTCATTATTTTTAAAATCCAATAAATAGGAAAATAATTACTTTTAGCTAACGTATTTAAATAATCGTTTTTGTTTTAATTTTTCTATTATTAATTATTTTATCTTTGTTTCTATTTATATAATGTACCTTCTTGTATTTTAGCTTCAAATATAATCTATGTTTTAATGATGACATTGTGTTGTTATTGTGGAGAATTGTCATAATTTTCTGACAGTAGAGGTTCACATTAAAATTGGAAAAATGGCTGGTGCGCTGGCGAGAATAATCCATGGGTCCAAAAATCAGTTAGGTAAGGTTTCTACCATCATTGAATTGTTATATATTTAGTGCATATTAACAAGATGGTCTTGATTTGAGCATTTTCTTCTTTATGTCTTTAACGCGCAGTGTGATCTTACATAATATTTTGACATATATCTTCAGGATTTGTCGGACCCCTAGTTACTGTCAATAATGGTTCTGTACGGTTCCAACAAACTAAGACTAGCTTTGGGCCACTGGCTGATAGCGATAGGATCTTCACCAATTTGTATGGAAGACACGATTGGCGATTGAGAGGAGCTTTGCAGCGGGGCGACTGGTATAAGACCAAGGATATTATATTGAAAGGAACAGACTGGATTGTCAGTAAGTACTGATTTTATATAAATTTTTTTAGTTTTAGGATCTATATTCAAGTTGAATGACATTATTAATGTAATTACTCTGTGTCATTGTAATAGATTTAATTAGTTTAGTTGTACTTCATTTATTCTAGCTGAGTTATCAGAATAATTACACATCAAATGAAGTTGTTTTATTGGAATGCAATAATTATAGTTCTTTTGTCTTTCACATAAGAGTTGCACATTATTTTGTTTTATGTCCCTCTTTATAGTGCTCACATAGTAAAATTAAAGAGTAGTGTCTTTGAATTGTTAACATTTCATATTTGAGTAGTTAATTAAATCAATATGTACATTAAAAAAATCATAGTTGAAGAGATCTTTATAAAGTTAATATTAAAACATATTGTCACTATATTGTAATCATAATGTTGCATTTTTATGCTTTCAAGGTTAAAAACAACTTTTGCCCACAATAATAATGATTAATAACAACTTGTTCTTTTCAGTTTTTTGAAATATCAAAGTTATTTAGCTAAGATACATTGTATTTATGACATGTTACGTTACGTTTTTGTCATTTCTCTTAAATTTCCTTCCTCAAATCTCTCTATTTTCAACAATTCTAATATGAGCTATCACATACATCTGTGCTTATATCATTAAAGTATAATTTAAAAACCAGATATACAGCAAAAATCATTGAGATAGTTAATAGTTCTTTTTCTATAAATAACATAATTTACACCAATTCTAGATGAGCTCAAGACATCTGGTTTGCGAGGTCGTGGTGGTGCAGGTTTTCCCACTGGAATGAAATGGTCATTCATGAACAAGCCCTCAGATGGCAGGCCAAAATACCTGGTTGTTAATGCCGATGAAGGTGAACCGGGTACTTGTAAGGATCGTGAGATCATGAGACACGATCCACACAAGCTTGTTGAAGGTTGCTTGATAGCTGGTGCAGCTATGGGCGCCCAGGCAGCTTATATTTACATAAGAGGCGAGTTCTATAATGAAGCTAGCAACTTGCAAGTGGCTATTGCTGAGGTAAGTAGATATGTAGACTGTTTCATGTTTATTTTCATTTTGTTTGATTAAATAATATTTTTTAATTGATTATGGATAAATTTATAGCATTTTATTTTAACTTCACTTTATAAGTTAATGATATTGTGTGAGTTGAATGGCTGTTTATAATTTATAATTTTCATTAAAAATATATTTTAAATACGTATTTATTTTTTATAGGCATATCAAGCTGGTTTAATTGGCAAGAATGCGTGTGGCTCAGGATATAATTTCGATGTTTTTGTCCACCGTGGGGCCGGAGCTTACATTTGTGGGGAGGAAACAGCCCTTATAGAGTCTATTGAGGGCAAGCAAGGCAAGCCACGCTTGAAGCCACCCTTCCCGGCTGATGTCGGCCTCTTTGGATGTCCCACTACGGTCAACAATGTCGAGACCATTGCTGTTTCGCCGGTAACATGAATATAATTTTCTCATAGTGCCATAGACAAAGACCTTGATTTATATATATATATATATATATATATATATATATATATATATATATATATATATATATATATATATATATATATATATATATATAGATACATATATAAATGACATTGCATCCTAACATTTCTAAGTAAGTCAAAAATAGATTTCATAAATACTTTTCTCTTATCAGAACTCTACCTTGAAGAAGTTATTATCGCAAGAAAAATATATGTACCATGATTTTTTTGTTCCTAAAGAACCTAACCCTTAATTGTTTGTAATAAAACTGTCCAGTATTAAGTTTTTTTAATTCTAGACAATCTGTCGTCGCGGCGGATCATGGTTCGCTTCATTCGGTCGACCTCGTAACAGCGGGACCAAGTTGTTTAATATTTCCGGTCACGTGAATACGCCTTGTACAGTGGAGGAGGAAATGAGCATCCCTCTCAAAGAACTCATCGAGAGACACGCGGGCGGCGTCTGCGGAGGATGGGATAACTTACTGGCTATCATACCGGGAGGATCATCTACACCACTCATACCCAAAGAGTTTGTATATAAAATACTATCATACTACTATCAATCAGTATTTAATATAGACACAAATATTTTTACATGGACAGGAAAATTAAATTTTAAATAATATATTCGCTAATAATTAATAACATCACTGTTATACATGTAAATAAAAACATAATAAGATGCAAACTAAAATAACGAACACCTCTGTTTTACACAGCGACATCTAGCGACAAATATACGTAGTAAATCGTTGAGTTAAAGTATGTAACCCAAAATTATATTCCATAGTGTATGCGAAACAGCCATAATGGACTTTGATGGGTTGGTTGCTGTGCAAACTTCCTTGGGAACTGCCGCCATTATAGTCATGGACAAATCAACTGACATAGTTAAAGCTATCGCTAGACTCATTATGTTCTACAAACATGAATCATGCGGGCAGTGCACACCCTGTAGAGAAGGTGTCTCTTGGATGAACAAGATTATATACAGGTTGGTTAGAATTTATATTTAAATATTGAAGTTTATTAGACATTAGTTCTTCCAGTGATTTCGTTTGTGTCAAATAAGTATTCTTTATTATACATAATACCTATCTGAAGTCTATTCAAATACAGTCCAGTGGTTGCAAAGATTTATACACCAAAATATTGTATTATATGTATGTACCTTTTGTATATTTAATATTGTAACCTTTTTATTTCAAGATTTGTTGAAGGCAACGCGTCGCCGAAGGAAATCGACATGCTATGGGAAATATCTAAACAAATTGAGGGTTTGTATATGATATTAATAAGAACTTAAACATATTTATTATAAGATATTGTCATTTGAATTGCAAAATAGTTTCAGAAGAAAGTAAAATATTTCTTCTATAACTCCTGAAGTGCGCGAAAATGCAAAATCTCTTCTCAAGATGTTATAGAAACATCAAATTGCATTAATTTAATGTTTATCTTATTTAGGTAGACTATAGTGGAAATTTGATTAAAAAATTATAAGTAGAGAAAATTAAGAAAGTAATTATTCATTGAAATCAAGTTGAAGTTAGTTGAAAGTCGCGTAGTATAACCGAAAAATACTAGTTTCATTTAATTTATATATTATAAAGAGCATTATAGTGCACAGTAAATACTAATTTTTATTACAGGACATACTATCTGCGCCCTGGGTGACGGCGCCGCGTGGCCGGTTCAAGGCCTCATACGTCACTTCCGGCCGGAACTCGAGCGACGTATGGCGGCGTATGCTGCGGCTCACGGACCTAGTCTAGCTGAGAGATTATATTAAACACCTGTAATAAATCAATACTAACGACATCTATGTATGAACTACGAAACTAGGTTTATACACCAAAAATGTTTAACAGCAGAAAAATCATATGTCTATTACTTTTATCGCTTTTCGGTGAACCTAGATATGTATTAGATTGGAATTTAGATTGTTATATAGATATGTGGGCGTCGGTCGAACAATACAAACAAATAAATTTACAAACATTGTCTGGTGAGAAGTGTAATGCTAGAATAATAAAGTAGATGACACCTTACAAATATTCATTCTATGTTCTAATACATCCCGCTGTGTCTGTGTTACTAACAATTATACTTCCTAACAATATATCTACCGACGTCCATAGTTATACTTAAAATGCACTGATTCCTTTATCAGCCCAATGACGATTATTGTATTTTAATATATAAAATACTATTTAATTTTCTTAACTCGCCTTGTGGCGACACGACGCTGTTACGTCTACCACCAACAGATGGCGCTTTCATAAAAATCCTAAAATTAATATTATCGCCATCTGTTATGTTCCGATCAACCATAATAAACGTGATTTTATAAAGACCTTCATGATTTTGTTTTAATTTCATTGGCCTCAATTTGTTACACAATGCTTTATAATATGCCTTCATATTATTTTTTATAACCGTGTATGATCTAAGGAATTTCGAAATAAAAATACGAAGCTCGACATAAAATGTCGCTCCCATCGACAACACGAGACCAAACCGTGACGCTAATAGGAATAAAATTGTTTAGTTATTAACCAGTTTTAGAAGTTAACCACAATTAAATTATAATTAGCAAACAAGATAATGTACGTTAGTTTCAATTAAGTTTGTGGTGTAAATATTAAAACGTATCATTGTCTATTACTGTTTCATTTAAATTTATTGATAGAAACCTGAACTGAATAGAAGTTTTCTTTGTTGTTTTATGCAATATAAACATATTTATTTTTAAAGTCATGTCGAAAGTAGGGGTGGTAATAAAAGCATTGTATTAATTTTCTAAATTATTTATTCCCTCTATCATTCCTCCTTTTTTTGATAAACTTATTATATCTTACTTTATGTACAGTTTATATAAATTAAAGTATTAATAGTATATTTTACAGTAAACTACTATTGTACAGTAAACTTTCATCTGAAAGACTTGACTACCACAACACACTTTCAATACGAAAGTTCGACCGGTTTCCAAACAATTAACAATTTTAAATCATGGTAACAATAGATTTTCTTCATTGGATTTTTCTTTTTGATTGAAAATGATTAACGTAAAATCAATTCAAGTAACAGCACCAAGTACCAAACGGTAATATTTTTTATTAAATAATAGGAAGTAGTGCAGCCACGAGTCATCGCACATTACAACAACAAATAAATTAGTTTTAAATTAAATAAATGGCACAAACCAAGCTACAATCGATTCGGTACATGGTGATGCGAATAATATAATTTTGATTCATACTTTTATAACATATTAATTTTATTTCAAATACATAATCACGATTTTCGATAACCAAAAAAACCAAATATAATAATAATAATAAAAAAAAACTCTGATGGAAGCATCTGACTGTCGTGAGACAATAATCTGAGTGGAACTTCTGCGTAACAAAATAATGGCAATCAAGTAATCGCTAAATAACATCGGTGGAGATCACAATTACACGATATAATTTTATTTATTATTTTCATTTAAATATAAATACAAAATATACATCCTAGGACCAACTAACACTAAATAGCAACAACTTCAATGCAATATAACCATATATATTGGTGTGAAATTGATATGATTAATGGATTTAACAGGAATTAACGCAGCAGTTAACGGAACTCTCGATACTGAACCGTCCAGGGTTGTCGCTGACGGTCGTTTACCCGACATCTCTTAACACTCATTAGATCACAAGAGCTCGATATCAGTCTCACTTAAACTGTCATTACGAACGATACAACTACTTATACCACAGCTCGTAAAAACCACAGCGACAATGAGAGCCGCACAACACTCGCACGACATCAAATAGCTCGGCGATAATCGATTTTGCGATTCTCATTGCAGCACTGATGGCTTCTACTTCATAAATAAATGGGGAAGCGGACCCGCCGCCTCCTCCGTCCTATAAACACTAAATTAAAATCTCGCGCAGAGACCTTTTTTTGGCTTGGGATACTTGCTGTAAATATTGACGGAGCGTGTCATCGGACCGACATTTCAGTGAGCAACCGCAAGCTTACAAGAAACTAGGCCTGAATAATTCAACAAGTCAGCCGTTGACGGCACGGCCCGACTAGGGTTACCATTTTACAATAATAAATGCCAGTTACCTAATAAATTAACAGAATCAATATAGAAACGAGATCTCGAAATTTTAAAAGTGTAAAACTAACTAGTGAAAAGAATGGTAACCCGATATTGGTTAACCGATGCCAGCATCGGTGATAGGGTTAATATTAACTTCTTATTGTTAAAGGCTTCAGACAACTAGATGTCCATTTGTATGTCTGGCACGAGCCGGTCGTGGCTGGCGGCGGCTCTCGGGGGCAGCTCGTTGCGAGGGTCCCGGGCCAGCCAAGGGTGCCTCAACACATCCGCCGCGCTCAGACGCTCACACGCCTCGCGACGTAACAGAGAACGGATGAGGCATTTACCACGAGACGACAAACACTCCGGCACCACGAAGTATCCGCGTGATATCTTAGCGAACAGCGACGCGTGCTCCGAGTCGTTGAAGGGATATCTGGAAGGAAAATCATCATTAGTATCGATTGAAAGATGATCACGTAAATTGATAACCTCCGCTCCGATAGCGATGGTCAGGTAACTAAAAGGTGCGGGCTCATTAAGACCGGTGCAAGAATATAGTCACAGATTATATCTTTTTTTTTCAAAGCAAAGTTAAAACTAATGACGGGTATCCGATTGTCATTTGGTGAGAGCAGATGCGCGAAACAAAAACTCAGGTAAGCGTTGGAACCCTTCCGGCGACAGGTGGAACCGGTGATTCCGGCGAAATCCCGAGTCTCGAATTTAAATTACGGGTGCGAGGGAGGAAAAAGTCGAAAACAAAGCATCGCGAACGGCAGGTGCGCAGAGAGGACTGTCTCGGGGCGGGAACAACGTCTTCGCCACATGACTGAGGCAGCGGCAGGTGCGGCGAAGATTTCACCTACTACATTTATATATGTGGGCGATATAATTGCTGGCCGTTGGCGCGTAACGGCCGACAGGTGATCATCCCTAGATGTCAACGGTCGTCGCGACCCTTACATTGTGATCTCTAAAAACGGTAAGTCCCACGCTCAGCAGGTGAAGACGCCCACCCTACTGCCCTACGTTTTATTTATGCGCGTTTAATTACGACTGACCGACCAGAATATTTTAATTAATACGCAAGAATATTAGCACTTTGTATACTTATTAATACACACCTTCCAACAAGCATGGTGTACAGGATAACTCCAAGGGACCACATATCTGCGGCTCGTCCAGAGTAGGTCCGATGAGCTCTTAAAATCTCTGGTGACACGTACGCAGGACAGCCTCGCTTGTCTTGGAGCAGATCTTCTTTGGGGTCGTCTAAAACTACAGCATCTTCCAGCGACTCGAGTTTTAAAGTCGTCCTACAACAATAAAATATAACGTTAGATTAAAAAATTACAAGAAAATTAAAATCATGTATTTCATTGGAGTTACATACGTTCATTTTTCATTCAATTCAGACATGCATTTAATTATGGTGGACCAATTGTATTTGACGTGAAACGACTGACGTACCAAATTTATCGCGGATGTTAGCCGAGTAGTATTATAATATCCAGTGACGCGGTCGTCCGTAATGGATCCCTTTGTGCTTTACCATTAACGATTCACGCGTACGATGTAATTAGCAAAGTACACATCAAAGCGCGGCAGCGTTGCAAAATAGTTGTACCATTCAGGAGTTTTGGGCAGGTATAGGTAAATAAATAATTACATGGCGAACCATAAAGCCGTTCGATGACGCAATAGGTTTTTGTTTCATCACATCACGGGCTTTGGGCGCATCGCGACCTCGTATTTCACAGCGGCCGCATCGTTTCGAAATGCATTAAATGCACAGTTTGAAACAGTACACCGTTCTGTATGATTATGTACAGTAGACGTGAATAGAACAGTGTGTACCGAGCGATTCGTTCCCGAGGGATCGTTTATCAACTTATGTTTACACAGTTGAACGAATAAGGCTCCGTCTGTGATTAACATAAAGAAACTATAGCAGAGGATGTGCATGTGGACTTGAAAAACTTAATGCATCATTGATGTAGTGGTAGCCTGTTTAAATATTTAAATGACTCTTTTGGTTTATCTGCCCTCCGGTCAGATCCCACTGCAGGTGCCGTGGGAGGCCGAGATTACAGTGAACGACGGGACGATGGCACGCAACGTTAGCGTTTCTCAGAAAGCCCGCGGGAGTCTCATGCAAAATTTTCGTGAGAAGGATCCATCCGAATGACTTAAAACAATTTAACGATTTCTGAAATGATAGTTAAGAAACTTTCAAGATACGATTACGCGTGGATTCCGAAAGCTGCGAGTAATAAATATCAGGTTTGCTCAAAGCGCGTTACAAAACCAAGCTGCGGTCTCAACTGCTTGACAAATAGCGCGCTGACTTACAGGCACGACAAGGCTCACACAACGGTTGTGCGAAGGCCTACCGTTAACATAATGCAATATATAATTTGAGAGGAGATAAGGAGATAGTGATTTATTAACATACATATTTATGAATCGATCGTGACAATATGAGCAGCGCTCCGACTAAAGGTTACCCTCGTTAATTCTGTCGCAATCCGCTTATCAAGCGAAATACTCCCGCACTTGTAGAAATTACGTGTTATAATAAACATTTATCACACAAAATCCATATGCATTACATTTGCCCTAGTTTTAGGGTGACGATTATAAGGTTCAATCGTTCCCTATCAAAAGCTACGACACGTGTTAGACATTAAATAAGTAGGCTTTATGTGAGAAATGATTGAAAAACTCAAACTGTATCCAACAGGCCCTTTTTCGACAGTGAACGGAGAAGGAGTCCTCGTGTCCGTTTTAGGCGAGTGCGCAATGATCCTAATTAAATCCCTTACAGCAAGGCTAAAGTGCGAAGTCTGCAGTTGCAATCGATTCTTATTTCGCAACTTGTAAATAAGTTACACGGTGTCGTAAGGCGATCGGAAGGTTGGCCGGATTTCCGAGCGGCGCGTGGCCTCGAAGGATTCTCGGTTGCGGACGGGACCGCGAAAGGACAGATCACGGCGCGCCCCGCCGCCGCCCCGCCGCCGCCCCGCCACCGTCACGCTCCAATACATCGCCTGCACGCTACCGCTGATACACTGCACTGACCCACGAGGTCAAGCGTGTACCGTTTGGATGTGACTTACTGGCGCCAATATGATTATATTACTCAATAATAACCATCCATTGTTATGAGTAAATAAACATCGTATTATATTTAATCATAAAAAATATTAATATCACTTATTTTATTTCTATAATATCATTATAAATTAATATTAATATATCGTTACAAAGTTTACGTAGTAGCGCTCGCCTTTGCCTTGGTCACAATGACCTAGCTCTAGTCTCGACCCGGCTTGGTCGATTTGAAATTGCATTATTATTTTATCATTGAAACTTTCATAAATAATTTAATTTTATAGCAATCGTATTATCTGTACCCGATGACGAGTACATAGTGTGGGACATCGCCCACAATTAGCGGGATGCGCCGGCGCAAGTTTCGCAATAGGCGTCATTGCTCAACTCAACCCTGACAGTTTCGTAACAAACAATGGCAGCCGCGGCACAGATGCAGCACACATGCATGCACTTCCTGCTCGACTTTATATCGCTATGATGAGTTGCGCAACGAAAATCAACTCTTTCAGCGACGGCCGATGCATCGGACGGTTTCGAAACAACAATTAATATATTACCGTCATTCGTATCTGTAATAATATCGGAATAGAATCCCGGCGATGAGTGTCTGGTTCGTCATAGGTTTTCGTAACCCTCAATGAAGGAACACATGTCGCAACCAGCGTTGCCTCACAGCCGGTCGACGTTGGGAGTCGGGATAAGTTAGGAAACAATCCCGACTGCCCAATTACACGGCCGTATGTATTGTGCAACAGAGACACTCCTGTTATACCGTTTACATATTAATAAGTTTTGTATAATAGCATTTCATTGTTACGTAGAATCTCGTTTTATCTAAACTATGTACTTTATACATAAAGTGCACGTGAATCAGCAGAGCAATATAATATTTCATAATGTTATGAAACCTACAAGTTTATGTCGCTTCAATAGTATTCCATGTGAAATTATTCGTGTACCATATCAGCATCAGAATTTAGGTCTTAAAACCGCACAGGCTGCGGCATGCTTTATCGGAACCGCGATAACGCAAGGTATACCTTGTAAGTTTTGAAACCAAGCGCTGGGCTGCTTGCAAAACGCTAATGTGAACATCGGTTGCAAAATTGTTTTAGTTTTAAACATCGAATGCGACGCCAATAAATGTCAGCAGTCAGCGAGGCATCGCTACGTCATTCATCCGAACAAGATCAAGTAGCAGGGAGTCTTACTATGTATCGTACACTCGTACAGGCCGTATTTGGCAGGCGGGTGGCGTCCGCCAGCGGGACGAATGTCACAACTCACAATGGATTATGAAGCGTTGCGATATGGCGTGTTGCAAGCCCGGGCGTCGATCCAAGGCGCCTCCGAAATAATCCCGTGTTGCAACTACGGGACTGCGGAACGTTCGTCACTCCAGGCCGCGTTACGCAAATACGTACTGTAATTGGCCAATTGTAAGATGTCGTCTCGTTTAAACGCGGACCCAAACTCACGAAATAGTTCGTCGACCCGAAGCTCTATTACGCGAATGTTGCGTAACGAAAGAAAGCAGCGGAAAAAGATTCCAAGCTCTCATTGATATCTCGTGATTGTCGAATTGTTGCAATTACACCGTTACGTGTTGTAGAGTGTTAATTCCGGTGAGCGGTCGACTTTCTAGCTCGGGGTCGGTGTACGAGGCGGCTGTCGCAACAATTTCTCCGGCCGAGGCGTGCGAACGAAGAAAGCGCGACCTCAGCGTTTTGCAATCGGCGTTGCGTCGAGCGGTGAAAGAGCGTTACCGTAGAAAGCGCTCTTGAGAAACACCATGATATAACTATAAGACAACGTTCCGGTGTTTCTATAGTACGTAACTAACTATAGTCATAGCTGCAGCGAGTGTTACTCAAACTTTAATATGAATGGAGTTGGAATTGAGCAAGGGACTTACGCAAGCCGCGATAAACGTTCGGCTTCATGTCACCACGCGTGAAATACTTCCGTTCATTGACTCTTTCCCGATATAACTACGCTCTGCTGTTATCCGTTTCGAAATACTTTCTCTGACCGACAATGCGTGTCTATACATTATGTAGGGCGGCCGCGGCTCACATCGAAACCACCAAACTCAATACAAAACGTTCGCATTTGACATTTTGTATAGTTTCTCAATAATTAAAATGGTTGCGTTCGATCTGATTATAATCTAACGCAATAGAACTGATTGAAAACATAAACTATCGTGCAATATGTTATGTGAAATTATCGATGTGGTGTAGATGCACTAGTTTAAGTACAGGCTTTCATAACACTGTTACGTTCAGCAACAACTTTTCTGGATGTTACAAAACTGGCGTGTAAAAAAACTCATTCTCCCACATATCGGATGAGTAAGCGCACGCATTATGACAGAATGTGTGTAAAAAACATTTATAATACCCGTGTGATAATAACAAGTCATTAAGATAACTTTCCCGGCGACACGTGACTTGATAAACACTTATCACAGTTCGGTCTTCGGGAGTGACACCTGGCGACTTTGAAGTTAGCGGAGGTCGCAACTAGAATACCATAAAGGGCAGCTGTATGTCGACAGATGCGGTCTAGATCGTACGATAAATAAAAGAGTAAATCCACATCCGCAGGCGCCTGCTCTGTATCCGTCGACGCCGGAGCGGAATGGACATTGTTCCGCCTCGCACTCGCTTCCGTCCTATTATTAAAAATCGGAAACTAGAAATATGCGAGCAAACGTCACCAATGAACGTTCTCAAAAACATTAGCGACCATTATCGTCGAGATATGTATTATAGAAGCGATCTTATATACGATTATTGATATATTAAATTTAAAATTAAATAAATTATGAGCCGAACATTTGGCTGTAGGTATATGATTAATATGCGAAGTACAGGCCAAGGCACAGCGTGTCACGGAGCCTTTGAGTAAGCCTCGCGTATTTTGTAACTGTAGATTTGCAAAACGTATGCTTCGAGCCGTGTTAAATCTTGCTCCTTGCGCTCTATTTCAAAATGTTGGCGAAACAATCGTGCGTTGTCCCAGCCTCGTTTCGGCACGCCCTAAAATTATAAATACTCAATTTATGGCGTTAATATAATGTTGACGTATAAATAACTATTTAATGTTTTCAAAGAGATTAAATTTTCAGTTTGTTCAGTTTAATTTTTCAAACTGATGACGCAGTCGTTTCGAAAACGTAAAATAAGCGATTGCGATTTCGTTTCGAAATACATTTGCCTCGTGGTTGCGACGTGGGACGACAAATAGGTTTAATCTCGTTGTTACATGTTCATTACACCGTTACATCGGAGTATTTCGAAAATACATTTCACACACATGCAGTGGAAATGGAAATTAAAATTACTATTTTCAAAGTTTCGATATAACTATTTCTAATATTACTTAAATGCGTTTATGTAAATATTTCTATTTTTTTGTTGTATTATTTTTAAATTAAGAATTTCACTGGTATCTTATCATCAAAAATTTCACCAGATATTTATTTGTATGCGATACGATAAGCAAATATTTTGTAAGCAACTAAGGTACTTATATTTGGTTATGTTACACAACTTAGTAAACACGATTAAATTAGACGAATATGAAAAATATGTATAAATTATTAAATAAATGATCAAGATTTTAAATATATAACCTTATATTCTTATTTTATATATGGATAAAAATACCACGACGTTATATTGAAGATGTACAGGATAGTATAAATTAAATTATTTATAGAGCCCTCCTTGTATGGACTAAGACTAGTTTCGATACAGTTTGCGATAGCGCATATTTTAATAGTTTTGTAAAACGAGTACGCGCGTACAGCGATGGTCACAAGAAACTTTCTGCCCTTTATATATTAATATAAAAACTTTTACGTTCAATTCGTAATAAAAGACTCGCCTTAAAGGTAGGTTAGTAGGAAACAGCTAGTATTGAGATTCAAGTAGTAAGATTATTATCGAACGGGACAATGGTTTATTAAAAACGGGAAACAAGTTCTTACGACCCCAATGACGTCGACACAAGTCGATACGCTGAGACGATAAGTCACGCAGAAACCTTACATACGCTAACATTATAACAATTATAAACAACGTTTATCATTCATTGCGCATTATCAGTTAAGCTGTGTACAGCGTTCAGGTCTAAATCTTCAATGTATTTAACACACCAGCGAGATTAATTTATCGCAGTCAGTAAGCTATTTCTATTCCAACCTATTAACCCTTTACTACAACAATAAAGAGCGGTAAAACATGTACGAGGAAATTGTAAAACCTGGTAGTATGTGTTATTGTGGAGCGTTTGTAAATAAAGAAATATCGCGAATCAAAACAAAATACTTGGTATTAAAAGACCGGTTTGTTCCGTTAACTGAAACGAGGAAGGCAACGGTCTTGAAACCATTTTATTCCATTTGCAATACCTCATACATTGAATATGCGAATACCATCGCCAATTTTATAAAATTCGATTTCGTGTCGACCCTAAGTGGAATTAAAGGATAAAACTCGATCCAAACAAGGCAACGTTATATTTCATTCGCATGCAAAAAAGAATTAATTGGTTTATCGCCACTACGAGCTGATAGTATAGTAAACATGTCAGGCCACTATTGAGTATCTCCCGTTCAAAACAAGAAAGTTCATAGGCCTTTCGTTGAAGAATTTCAAACACCGTACGATTGTGTGAAACGTGGACGTGAATCGAATGTAATTGCCTCACGATAAATAAATAGTGGGATTCTGAACAATGCCGATGATGATTATGGATTACATTCTGATAAGGCTTATATCACGAGCCGTGTTGCAAGTGGAACACAGCGGTACTTTCACGTTTACCGTACAGAAAAGTATACCGATGGTAAGTTTCACGACATATACCTACCAAACAATATTTACAGTTCGTTAATATCTATTAACGAGTATTTCTTTTTTTGTCGATGACATGAGATGAGATCATGAAGGATCAACGATCTACGAACACCGAAGCAAAGATCGCCTTCGATACGACATAGCAAGGAGCGGTCTTTAAACTCGGTCGTTCACCTCGCGATTACATACATTTTAACACACAATGACGTAAGTTGGAAAGTGCGGAAACCGATGTTCTAAGACAAATAAATCGATCCGAGATCCATTATACCGCGGCGGCCGGCATCCCGTTCGCGGATGCGGCGGGGAAAGGCCAGTGAACTTGCAAAACCTCACCTGTCACAGTCGGGGGGAGAGAAACAAAGAGCGTGATGCAACGAAGAAAGCGGGGAAACATTATGTTGAATCAAAGACAGCCATATTACGTAGGCGGCTCGGTGGAGAAGCTAAGAATTCGATTTGGAAATTGGAACCGGGAACGTAGTTTTAATGCGTACCTCTTACACAAGCTGCGGCGGAAGAGAGCGCGGCGAAAACGGCACATTTAGGTGATGCAATAAAGAAAGTGCGGAACTAAAGTAGGTTTTCTAACGCGGTGAATGTACTCAACCATTAGTCGTATATCATACGAGTTGGCAAAGAATCTACCGAGTCGCGGCCGTCGACCCCGCGCTCCGATAGAACCTATGTTTTGCACGCTCTCGTATGATATAATGCGCGCATTCCTTGGAGAAAATTACTTTTAAATCGATTATATCCAGCCTAAGGTACATTGCTTTCATTACATCGATTCCAAGACTGCAACTGCGGTTAGGTAATGTGTGTCGTCACACATGTTACCGGCAATTACAAGGCTGATGTAACAGACGGTTTGGAAAATATGTGTGATTTATTGTATATTGAGTCGGATGGCCTTAGAAATGGGCGAAAACGTGTTTAGAAGTGGATGTGTCAAGTTCAGCTCGTGCCAGCGCGGGCAGCGCGTTGACAATGAATGGCGAACAGCGCTGTACTTGACCTACTGCCGCTACATCACATATTACATAGACATTAAAATATCTATCATATATATTTAACTCTAGATAAAGTATAAATGACGTACATTATTGAAAGTGACACACGAACGATTTTTTCTCTCATCGCTCATTAAACATTCGACTGCAACAAAGGCCGGTTATGACAGCTTTGACATTGGCATATTGGTTCACTAGGCCACGGTAAAAAACGTCTTTGGCACGAGCTCGCTCAGTTTACGTCAATCAAGAAAATATTTAATAAATAAAGCGTCATCATCATCTTTCATAACTGGTGATATCATTGTTTCTGAATGTTCTCATTATACACGTTATACGTGTTGAAATTTATATGGACGGCTTTGTATCTGTTATATTTTTAACGAAACCAAGGTCCTATATGCAGCTGCATTTACACCTGTTCATTTACAGGCTATTTATTATTTACATGTACTAACTGGTTGACTATTAGGTATTGATTTTTGATATAAACTTAATATAAAATGACAAAACATACACAAAAAATATATAAACAGTTGCAGCGCGCGGCGTCCGGTGTCTGTATGTAATAATCCAAGTAGGTTAAGGTTTCATCAAGGATTTGTTGCGGCAAAACTCCGCTCCAAAACGCGTTACTGAACTCCACGCCGATTCCAATGTATTTGTTCAGCGACTTTTGCAATTCAACATTCATTAACAATAGTTTTAAAGTTGGCGTCGAGATGTCTACTAAATTTAAGAATGATTAATGGACCCCGCTCCGTCACTGGATGGTCATTTTAAATGTACCATCTCATTCACCTGTCCACGACAATAACGAATGCATGACAAAAGCGAAGATGTCCTTTGTGTAATTATCACAGAGGAAAACAAATGTAACTTGATAGCTTTTGTCCTAACATCGACTGAAACAATGGTCCTTTGATACGCTATGAAAGTAACAAGTACCCAAAATCGGACCCAAAAACAAACAGGTTAATAAGTTTCAAAACGATCCAGATGTATTACAAAAGCGGTAGCACACAGCCGTTTGGCAACAGCAGAACCGATTGTTTCACAACTAGCATCGCAGCGTCCGGACCACTCAATTAATTGTTTCCAACGTAAAAACTTCAACAATTCAAGTCCTTTGTTTTATTTACAAAACATTGTCACCGTTAGAGCACTCCACTTTATATTGATAAATATGGGAGCGACCATTGTTAATTAAATTGTTTCATTGCTTAAGATTCTTTCTATTCAATAATGCTTTAAGAGTATTATTAAAATAACTATTATAATTTTTGAACAAGTTCGTGTTAAAGCAATTTGACCTCGGACCCGTGTAATGAATGGACCTAACGACGATTTTGTGGTTTGTGCAATGACAATTACGTAATATATTATTATGTCAAATTTAGTTTTTTCCTATTGGAGAACAACACGTAAGAACGCACATATGTCATATTTTATGTAACGTTATGTAATTATATATGTTAAAATATCTCAGTGGTATATCGGCCAAGCTGATTAAACGCTCAGGGCTGATGCAACTGTAATCTTGTGTAACTATAATATAAATATATAAACATAAGACCTTCGATGCTACGGCCTCGGTGTAGCTGAATTCATACTATATTTTATTCATCCATGGAATGTATGATTGATTACCTGAATACATGGGAGACATTCAGGAGTTCGGGCAGGCGCGGGCGGAGCACGGCAGATGTTGGCGAACTATTGTTGAGGTAACAAAAGCAGGTAGTGTGATCCATAGGTCGCGCCATGTGCTACGTGTTAATTTTTTTTTTGATGATAACACGTTTTGAGAAAGAAATGATAGAAAAAAATAATAATCTCACCCGACAGATGGACGAGCACATGTCCACTAACAAAAAACACGGACAGGATTAAAATGTAAACGAAACTTTTGATTAATAATTAAATTTTGCGTCGATGCTTTGTTTTGTGACTGCATTAAATTAAATACAATGGTTTCCCTTTGTTACAAAAGAGAGAAACGAATCGAATCCCAGTTATCAAAATTAATAACAGCAAAAGCAATTTACTTTGATCGCGTAATATCCTGCCGGCGAATTTATTGAGCAGAATTTTCAATTGTTTCCCGTGCCAGTGTGAAGCGTTATACCGAATAAGTTATGTTTTACACTTGGCGTTTTTGGTATGGGATGTAATATATATTTTAATGGAAAATTAAGGGTACCCAACAAACGTAGTGACAAAGAACGATCGGAACAATGACAAATATTGACCTCGCAGCATGTGTCGAAAGCCAAACTTTAAGACTGGTTTACGAACATTTGAATAAACATTCGCTGCGATACTAACGAAATTTTGTTGACCTTAAGTTATATCGAATGTCACTTGTATGCACCCAGATAGAGTTGTGGCCAGGTGTCCGCAAAAACTTTCTCAATATTTGGAAACTATATATTGTTACACAAATGGACACCTATAAATAATCTGCTGTCATACGGTTGCAAGTTCAGCGCCAACAAGATTTACGGCATTTATTTATGAGGACGTTTAAATAAATTCGCTGTTAATAGACAGGTTCCAACGTCCATAGTCCTTTAAATTGGCCTCTCCCGAAGTCGTATCTCCTTGACCAAAGGATAAGACACCTTGTGGGTAACAAGGTCGGTATAATTCGTCGCGAAGGCAACAATGGGTTCTTATAGTGTGTGCTCGGAATGTGAATTTTGAACACGTGCGTCTTACAGGTAGACATGCATGTGCAGTTTATTGTCATCTTAAGAATAGTATTTTTGTCAGCAGTGAATAGGACTTCCTTGCACAATGGACTCTTTACATTTCGTCGCATCATCGATCGGGATAAAGAGTCCCGAAACGCATCATGCGTAGGAGATCACAAAGCGTATTTGTTTATGAAACATCTGTCCGAAACTATGAATTACCTCATACAAACGGCATTGCAAAAACGATTTCATTGTCGTATCTCAGGTAAACTTTAAAAGATTAACCCGAAACCGGTTTCAACAATTATTGAAACACCTTGATATTTTTTTTTATATAAAGAATATACATTATTATATTTAATATTCAATTTCTTATAAGTAATAGGCGTTTAAAAATCGTGTTGCGGCATAACCGGCGACCTTAAGACGTTATCTGTTTGTGATAAGAAAGATTGTGTGACCTTTAGTGTTGACTAGGTGTACAAGGCGTGATAAGCCCTAAGACCAATGACCGCATTGAGACATTCAATGCATAGGATTTATTATGACCATTTAAATAAAATATAATAAAATATTATAGATTTATTTATCGGTTATTTAATTATGTGCATTACTTTATATTAAATATTTTTTTATATTAATAATTTATTTAAAATATAATATGTTAATTGAAATGTAAAATATAATTCTATAGTTACATACGGTCCTGATGTTTTTTATTTCGCATCAATAGGCCCTAGACTCAAGGTCTCTTCAGGGCCGGATATAATTGCAACGCGAATACAATTGCATACAAACAATAAGCTCCCGGAGGGCTGATTCGAATGCTAGAACAAAGCTTATCGATATAATCTATACATACGTAAGTTATTTACAGACATAGCAATAAAATGTGCATATAAAGAATTAGCACGTATATAGCATGGACATGACGCTGCTCCCGACATCGTCGACTTCAATAAACACAAGATAAACGTTATTGAGTCACGTATAGAGCAAGTTCATTCGAATAGTCGGTTTATCGGCTAGCAGCACGTAATACTTAATGCGGGCATGAGAAAAGAACATACCAGATTTGTTGGATGGGATCAGTTCGGAATGACGTCACGATTCGATATAGAATAAATTAATGTAAAATAAATAGTACATTTCACAAAAATTCCTTACTTATATACCTCTTATCTATATTATGTAGGAAATATAACTCCAAAACTGAAGATTATCATACAATAAATATACTGTCACTCGTTATTTAGTATCGTAATTTGCATGTTACGAATTGTAAAGCAACGTATAAGTCGTTTCCTGGTCGAAACAGTGAAGGCGGAAGAGTTGTGCTTGCGCAACTGACATTGAACCAGCGATCTCGCCGGAGGCCGCCCGCGCCAAGATTCTTATATATTTTAATGTCTTTTTAACATTAAAACGAAAACCGGAGTCTTTTGATACATCAGGAAAACCGCACATTTAAATCAGCTTCAAAACATTTCTAGGTAACAGGATGCGATAACTGCGCACTTAGATATGTATATTATGTTTTTATCAAAAGAAAACATTCGCTTCGAGGTTTTCCTTATCAAATTTCACGTCAAACTTTGCGATGCTTCGCACACTGATAAAACGAACTTGCATCTCGTAGAACGTACATTAATTTGATTTATATAATATTATTACACTTTAAATACAATTACATCTATTAGTGTGCATCTATTATAGATTTTTTTTGCGCAAAACAATCCATCAAGGGATACTTAAGTATAAATATAGTTATTAGTAACGTAATAAGTCATTGGATCATAATTTACTACGTATGTGTTCTTGCTATGAAGACGATTCATTACACTAGTTTAAATGATTCTATACGCTTACGTCATCGTATTAATATGTTTGAAGAATAATGTTTAACAAAACATTGACTATATCGCTATTTAGTTTCTTTTTTTTAATATAAAAAATATTATGATTATATTTTGAAACATTATTTTTATGGCAACAAGTAATGCGCATTACTCATTACATCACAAATGTCACCTTCGTAATCTTTATGTATTATATGATTATTACAAATAAAATATACTATTAAATTTTAAGTGATATAAAAATAATTATTAAACTTAATGATACTTTGATATTTAATGAAAAATTATAATATTAATTATTTTTTATTGCAACACTGATAATTAAAATTACATTGTTGCACGAGTGTCAATTTAATTAATGAATTATGAAAAATATTATCGTTCAAAAATAAATAATAAATATGTTCTATTCTTGATTATAACAATCGATCACTGAAATCGATACGTATAAGGTTTCTTTGTCTCAAATGTCCATCATATCATTTTCGTATATAGGTAGTTACGATAATATGATAAAAGACATCTAGTTTCGCACATTATAGTATTAAAATCTATATAGATCTATACTATGTATTTATATAAATAAATAGTATTTATGTGAGATGGTTATAGGGTGTTAATTAATACGTTAATCGATAAGGTGTCGATGCCGGATCCGGTGTCATGTCGCCGGCGTCCTTGGTCGGGACCGCGCCGTCTTCCGTGTATACGTCACTACCACGTGTCTCATTTAACTGTTTTGTTTGTGAATATTAGAAACAAATGAGGCGTATTACGTAATATAGTTCCCAGTAAATCACAGTATAACGCAATATCACATCGAATTTCCTGTGTAACATTGTTTTCATTTGTTAGGTAATTTAAAATAAGTAACTCCTTGTGGAATAACCGAATCCGTAATAGCTGTGTTGACGTCAAAGCGTACTGCGTAGGTTTTATTTTATATTAAGCCACCCTCGGCGTACGTAACCATTGTAATCATACGGGATTGTACGGAATGTTTTACCGAAATACAAATCGTACGATACCAACAATACCTACGCCATTTTTACGTGATTACATCAGCGACGCGAATTAAATGTTATTGAGAACTGCGCAAAATCGGAATACTGTTCAAATATAGAAACAGAGAAATAAAAGTGGAATGTACTTTGTATTGTTATGCTAATGACGCATATGAGAATATTACTTGTTGTCAACGACTTGTATCGGAAAAACCTACTTCATGATGAAGAACGTCCAAATAATATGTATTCTAAAAATTATTTCAATTTATCCAACATGCATAAATTCGTTACGGTTATTTAATATTCCAACACGCTGTGACTTTGTTTTGTATAGAAGGTCAATCTTAATAATTGCTATAAAATGCGAGTACATTTAATGTAGTGTCAATTTAGTAATGGGAGTGCATGTTAGAAAGATATTGTCGCGGTATATTACGCAAGCGACCGCGAACAAAGGTCGTATGCGTTCTCATATTTATAATAAGTATTCTTCAATCCGAGGCCGAAACCACGAAAAGAATACAGTTTCGCAACGAGCATTTCAATGTCATTGTGAGCGTACCTCGCGGTCGGTCGCGGTTTTTTGTTCTGATACCCGCTGCAGCACATTCGAATATACAGTATAGTCTTGGTTTAACGAGCTTCGTATCTGACTCATTGTTCATATTAAGACCTATTGTTTGAAATCGTTACCAAATTTATATTTTTTTAATTAAAAATTAACCATGAGATTTTTTTTAAATATTATACGATGAATAAACATCGAGTAAATTACTAGGAAACTCCATTACGTTGGATATTACAAGGGAATGCGTAGTCATATGGGAAGTTATTAGTGTGACGAGATTGTAGTTTATGTACAAGGAATTAATAGCTATAAATCTGTTTATGCACATCAAGATCGCAGAGAAAATGGAGCTCTATAATAACATAATAAGGCCTAAATTGGTGTGCACCTGAAGTTTGACACATGAAAATATTGCCAGACCATGAAAATGCTAGACCGGCTGCAAACCGGTCTAGAACTTGGTAGCTGGTCGCAATCACAGAAGCCAACTTTTAGTAACAGCGTCTACTGTATAATAACTGACGAAATTTACAACATTAAAACATTTTTCGGCCGCTCGTAAACATTACAGCTAAGGCGATAATGTCATGATACACAAATAGTTTACGTAAACGAAAAAAAATGCGATGTAAA